CATTTATAGACAGTCCTTGAAGGCCTAATGCTTGGATCAATTTCAGCGTAAGTCTTTGACCAGTATTTGAATTGTTGGTACTACCTTAATTGTAGTTCACTGATATTTGGTTTATGCTTGGGTTTTAGCCTATTCTATGCGGATGCAGTGATGTGGGCCATTGGTGCAACAACGTTTGTGACTTTAGGACTGTCTGTATTTGCTCTGCAGACAAAAGTAAGTTTTCATTAATACCCTGTCAGCAAGTTACAATAAGTTAATAAACACTCTGCCACTGAATTACATGGGACTGGTTTTTAAAGCATGCCCTTATGGCTTAATTGGAAGCTTTGTGGCAACTAATAAATGCTGGCTCCTCATGGCAATTGCTCCATTGTGATTGCTGTTAAAACATTTACAGGAAATTATTTCAATTAATTAAGATTTCAAATCAAATGGCAAAGCACCTTCAGTAACTTAGCCTTCATGTATATATGACTGATTGAAGTGGATGTGTTAAATGTGGCAATGCTTGCCCCTACTCAGTCCATTGTAGTGGCAGTCTTGGGAGACTGGTGATTGATAATCACCAGGTATCCTGTCCTTACTTCATTGGGGTCTTTGGTGATTTTTTTTCCTTTATTTTAAAAATCACACCAGGGTCCAGGCATAAGCTAGGTGATGATAACTTCAGTGGCACTGGGACTTAGATGGCTATGAATATGCCCATTGGTAGAAATGTAGCTGCCTATAGCCATGAGGGAGGGTTTTTGAGATTCTTGGTGGTTTTCTAAAGTGGCAGTTAGGTTCACAAGTCTCATTGTGATTCCAGCCCTAAATACTTAAACAAAGGACTCTTTCAGCATTACTCTTAAGCAGGGAATTCCTATCTAGGAGTAGAAACCTGTCCTTTCTCCCAGCTCTGGGCATTTGGACAAGTAGCAGCTCTGCTTACCCATGTGACATGCTGTGCAGGAAGTGGTATGACAGTCAGATCTAACCAACTTAGTTTGAATCTATTTTATCTTCAGTGGGACTTTACCATAGCATCTGGAATCCTCCTAGCTGTAGTCCTGGTGCTGATGGCCTTTGGTATTCTTTGTGCCATCATACGGTCATTTGTGAGTATACTTCACACCGTCTCTTACGAAAGCTTACAATACCTATGATTTCTTTAAAAGTTACCTTGTCTTACTTTTAAATATTCTCTGTATTTTAGTTCCAGCTTGTCTTAAGACAAGCTAACATATGGCTCCCCCTGCATCTACTGTTTTTCTCTAAGTGGCTTTGCATTTCTCTGAAAAAAGCCTTCAGTATCTATTCCCTTATCCCGCTTCTGTTAGGCTTTGCTACAAAATGCCTCTCTTCCCTCTCCCATGCTATATCAAAATGCCGAGCCAAACTCCTGGGTGAAACTTTACTGATTTAATTCAAATTTAACAGGGATAAAATTGGATCATTCTGTCTGTGCAACAGAAGTAGATCTTTTAAGTTTCTTGAATATAACAGAACTGGTGGTAGCATGATAATGAAGAGTCAGTTTTACATAACAGATCTGTTTGGATCTAGATATAATTGAACTCACTTTTTCTCCCCCATTGCAGTGGCTGCAGATAGTTTATGCCTCAATAGGAACACTGGTTTTCAGTATAGTAAGTATTTCTTTCTTTGTTCCTCTTTTTCCCCCTTACAATTAATCTACAGAGACTTTACTGCTCGGGGGTTGCCTCACACAGCAACTTGTGTAACAATTTCAGAGGTTCTAACCTGATTAAATATGGCTCCGGTCCCGTCTATACAACAGGCAGTGGTATAACAAGCAGAGCTAGTGCCTGGGGCAAACCCTGGCACCAGGGTTTGAGATCAGGGAGCAAGTTCTGAGAGCTTGATTTCTGCACTGCTATAGTGTACACGCTGGGGTAGGATTAGGTGGGCTGGTGGTGGAAGTACTACACAGCGCAGAAAGAACTAACTTGGAATTTTAAATGGCTCTTTGCTCAGTTATCTTGCAGGAGAAGCTACCTCAAACTCTTTTGTTAACACAAGGGATGCTCCCTCCTCCTATACAGGGTTCAATGGTTTGAACTTTGACATTCAGCTCCTCAGAGCTGAAGAATTTGAATTTAAATTTCCTCTGTTCATGTCTATCACCGCTCTTAATCATTATGCAGTTATTTTCAAGAACAGGCACTGCCTGTGTACATATCGGGGTCTGTGAAGAGGATCTCCGTTTAAAAAGCTCCCAGTAGGCAGCCCAAACACTTGAGTTTGTGTTTAAAAAAATCTGGTCATGTAAAGAGCACACACCAACTGCTGCAGCTTCCTGAGCCTGACGAAGGGTTTTTGAACCCGAAAGCTTGCTTAATAACTATTCTCCAACCATTTGGGTTGGTCTAATAAAAGATATCAAATTCACCCAAGGAACCTTGTCTGCCTATATCCTTAGACCAACATGGCTACAACCTAAACCCCTGGTCATGTAAAGCAAACTTGTAATAATTGAAGGAATTTACACTAGCTACAGTGGCTAAAATTTAGCCATTGAATAATCTGACCAGCTACATCCATTCTTGTTTATGGAAAAGTCACTGGGACCATAACAAGCACTTATCTGCCAGAGAGAAAACAGTTTATATGGGCCAGGAGAGTTCACATTTTGTATCTGTAAAACTGATGGGTTTTCTTGGGTTTATCTTTCAGTATCTTGTGGTGGATACACAGCTCATGCTTGGAGGAAAGCACCGGTATTGTTTGAATCCTGAAGAGTATGTCTTTGCAGCACTGAACCTCTATCTTGATATCTTAAATATTTTCTTGTTCATACTCCAGTTAATTGGGCTTTCACGCTGAAAAGCTACTGCGCGTGAACTGAGACATGACAGGACAGAAACCATGTGAGGCAAAGTCTAAGTGCAAAGCTAAAAAAAAACCTTACAAAAATGTTCTTAGTTTCAGGCTCTTGCCACATAAAGAATAGTTCAGTAAAGTACAACCCTTACACCTGAAACCACACAGTTTCAAGTGTCCCTCCAGCAGCCAGATTTAAGCCGACCAACAACTCAATTTAAACATGAATTTCGAAGGTGAAATGTAACCTCACTCCTCATGGAAGGGCCAAACAAGGTTTGTAGCTGTGAGGAAATAAGGACAAACTAGCTCACACTCAGTATTTGGGTGTATTTTTTTAAACAAGGGTTCAAATAGTGCCTAAAAATTGTGATAAGATGAATCTGAAATAAAGTACCTACACTGTCTTGTTCATATATGGATACTGTGACCTAGTTAAGCAATTCTTTACATAATTCTTTCTGTATCTATTTACATTTGACATAAAGTGTGTTGTATCTTGAGAAGTCAAGTTTTACTGTCATGTGTCTAATACATGTAGAGGAATAAATCTAACTGTAATTGGTGTTTCCTGTATACTTCTTTGCACTAGAAAAGGTGAGATGGTGATGTGTTTTCCAGCTAAAACCATAATACAGCTAGCAATGTTTTTTTATGCTTTGCAGTGAGAATAAGGGGGAGAGATGGAGTCCAGATAATGAAACAACTGGAGTTTTTCCTATTCTATAGACAACAAGGTAAAGGACACTAGCTGGTAGCAGTGGGTCTAGAATAAGGCTTTTCTCCCTTGTCAATATCTTTGAGGTAGGAGACCAAGAAGCCCCAGTTAAATACAGAGAAAGCTTTGTTATCCGGCACCTATGGGGAATAGGGGGTGCCAGATAACTGAGTATGTTGGTAACCTGAGAGACCCGAACAGGCATTTTTGCCTCTTCCACTGTGCCGCCCCATCCACTGCATCCAGTGCGCCTCCACCCCTCCTGCCACGTCAGTGTGCCAGAGGACAGGGAGGGGGACCCTGGGCACACTGGAGAAAGGCTGCTAGGCCCCAGGCCATGGGGGCTCAGTGAAACCGGAAGTGCCATGGTGGGTGCTTCCGGCTTCACTTTTGCTGTGTCGACTGGCATGCCGGTTAGTAGAGCATGCCGGCTTGTAAGATGCTGGATAACGCGACTTTTACTGTAGAGCACTAAGTCTGGGCCATACTGGATTCAGCATGCTTAAGTTGTTTAAAGCCTTGTTTATGACATAATTTCTCTTGTAAATGTTAGCTTATGAAAGAAAAAATAATAGATCTTTTTTAGAGCCTCAAAACCTTAATATCTTAGAGTAACACTTGATATTACAGTTATGAAAGATAAGTATGTAAAAATACTATAACAAATCTCAGACTCTTGAGAGGAATATTTACATTAAATAATTGTAAATTACTTATATATATTGTAATAATGTAGTATGTGCTAACAAGACAATCCAGGCATCCTATGTCCATTACTAGCACGTTTTTAAAACTAATAGAATTTGAGGACTCCAAGTATAAGAATTAGCAGGATCTGGCTGGTTCCAGTGTTTTCCTTCTGCAAACCAGACAGCGTCTTCATTGTACATAATAATGTTTGGACTTGGTCCTAGATCACAGTACTACTGAAGAGGCTCTCTTACCTCAGCAACTAGTACTGCATACTTCAGTATCACAGTTTTATAAAACCAAGGGACTGTGTAATCTGGCCTCTAGGGCTAAGTACAAACAGTCAAAGAGTCCAAGGCTGAATCTATTCAATCTTCGCAGGTTAGTCCAAGTTGTACAGATTGAACCGATAAGCAAGCAAACAGACCATTCACTTTTAATTCCAGAAATCCAGCCATATGCCTGCAGTGACCCAGACCAGAAGCTGGGGGGTGCTAGAGCACACCTCCCTTCCTGGCTGGAGCAGACAACGTGGGCCCACGTAATTCTCTACTTTGGGTTTTCTCTCTTAAGCCTTGTATAGGTAGACACCCAGTTAAATATTCTGCTTTTAAATATCAAAACATAACCGCCTCTATTTTCTAAAACTACCATCACAAAAGCCAAGGTATGCCTCCTAAAAACAAGCGAACTAGTCCTATACACTTGCTAAAATAAAAGTCCAAAATGTAATGAGACAAAAGGAAAGAGTTTAAGTAATAAATGTTTAATCAAAGAAGTTTACATATTATTAACAGCATTCATTTGGCCAAACATCTACATGGTTGTAGTATCCTACTGTATATAAAGTGGGAATGTATCAAGTATAGACTATGAAAGTGCAAATAACAATTCAAGGTTAGAGTAATTTTTTATATTATAAAATTAACAGGTTTACAAAATAGTCTTGCCAAACTTTATTTTTGAACTGTAAAGTCAATGACTATGGTGTTAAAATAAGTACCAAGAAAATACAAATTGAATATGCTCATTTTCATGCTCATAAGAGTAACACAGAAACAATGGATATACTGCACAACCTAAACAAATTACAAAAAACCAGAACCCACAAACTTCACTATCTTCACAGAGAGCACTCTTACATTTCTTACTGTAGCTTTGCAAGACATCTCAATGCAATACACAGAATCTTTGTGAGAATCTTTCTATTTAGAAATTACAATTCAAGGACGCTACAAGTTAACTACTTGGAGACCATTTCATGATGCTAGTTCCTAAAGAACTATTTCATTTTGTAGATTCTTATATCCTAGAACAGTTTAAAATAGAAGTTTTCTAAAGATGAGCAGGCTTCAATGATTATGTTGAGAATGGGGCAGCTAGAGAAGTTAGAAAAAATGGAATGGAATAGGAGAACATAGCCTCAAGCCATCCTCTCTAAAGACACTTCCAAAAGAAATACATTTTGTGGAGCTTGGAAATTGAATATTCTTATTTGACATCTTACTAAAATGAACCCTCTATTTGCAAAGTTCAGAAATAGGATTTGCATGAAATAGTTATCAAAACTCTCACTTGAACTCACAGCAATCAATATATAAACTTTGCCATCATGATACTTGCTTATACACACGCAGTGAGAAACTTTTATATCAATAAATCTCTGGTAATACTCAAGCAAAACTAAAACGGAGTGCATATATTTTGCTTGTGTTATGACAGGTTTTGATTATATGCAAGTAAAACATCCATTACTCTAGTTGTAATTACATACTGTACCATTGTATCTCACTCACCACTAACTGTAGTTTTGATGCTTTTACATAAGTCTAAAACCAATATTTTCTTCACAGTACGACAACTAGGAAGATTTTTTTTTCTTACACTAAACAGTAATCACACAGCAAATGATTATTGTGCAATTGAACAGATATCTAGCAGTGTTTTGTTTATGCAAAAACAATGGTTGAACATTTAGTCATTTACTGTAAAGGCAAGGCCATGGGTGGTTTTATGGAGGTCTTTGCAATTAATAGCATAGTTACTCCAGAACAGATAGTGAATTTGAATTACTTATTTAACTGTGGCAACTATCCATTTGGGTTAGGCAAAGGCACCGTAGCATGTTGCACAGATTATGGTGTTTGAACTTTAGTTGTGGGACTGGCTAACATAATGAAAATTTCATATTCCTATATTTTTATAAAATGTTACCATTAAAAGTAATTGCACTACTAGTGCATAGAGTGCTTTGTAAAATTATGAAAACAAAGAACAATGATTGCACTTCCATTAAAGTGTCTCTTAAAATACAGCATAGCTGTTGCTAATTAGCTGTATTTTAATATTTAAAATAACTGTTTAACAGCAGCATTAGGTTTAATTAACTTAAGGTACAGGCTACATTTAAGTAAATGCAGTCACCATGGCAATAAATGCCAGTTAAATTTAGAGAAGCAATGCAACACAGTGGTATCTTTCACTGCTAAGAATTGTGATTACTTTGATAGAGGAACACTGTGCACTGTTATATTGGGTTACAGTTAGCTATTCACAGTTTGGCACATTTAGACTGTAAATAGACATGAAAAAATCTTTGATTTTAAATGTGAAAAAAATATCCATATTCTTGTTTCTGGAGCAGCACTAAAGAGAAGCATTAAATACCTCAATTCACACTGCTAATAAAAAGGAAAGACGAGTTAGGAAAAATTATGGAGAAACAAAAAATGGAAATGAATTACTAACCATTATTAGTTTGCTGAAAGATTGAGTTCTAAAAATGGAGTAAACTATGTTTTAGGATAAACAACCAAACTACTCAGTGTGAGCCTTTAATCCATATTTTCAAGTTAAGGATCACCAACCTAAGGCTAAACAGATGCTGCAATGTATTAGGAATGTGGAGTAAGCCTACTTATTCCTTTTTCTTCAGAGCAAAAAAGGCAAATGCTACCTAATTAAATGCAAAGGATATTCCTTGAAAGGTTCAAATTATTAATATGAGGAACTACACTTCAAGGGAACGCCTATGTATTCCATCGTTATGTGAACAGTTTATCACTGAGCCATAATTACGTGGATCGAAGCTTCCATAATGCTTACTCCACACACTGTACCATTTGTACTGCTATCCATATAAGCTCCAAAACTAATGTGTGTTCATACCAAATGTACATGTTCAATCCAATCATTTGAGGTTTGAGGAGTCTGACTTGAAACATCTTCTGAAACATCCAGATGGCTAGTTGCTTCCCTGGTACGGTCACCACTTTGTGGTACAGTTTCAACTGGAATAATGTTTTCTTCAGAAGTACTCTCTTCTGTTTGGGTTCCTTTGCCTTCATTTTTGAGCGCATCCTCAAAAAGTGCATGCTCTTCCTGAGGCTCCAGTCCTACACCTGTACGATTTGATTGCCCTCCTGACCCATCTTCTGTACTGGGTTGCTGTGAATCCTCATCGGTTTCTGAACTTGCTGAAGGAATTAGGGCAATACTTTGTGGGTTCATGTCATGGAACCAGGCCATAATATTTCCAAGTAGATTTTCACTGGTGTTTGGGTCTTGGCTACTTGAATCAGCATCACTAGATGTTGAATATAATCCATTTCTTGTATCGCTGCAAGGGTGTGAAGTAAGGCGATCAGTTGAAAATGGATCATTGCCCGCACCTAGTCTCATCAGATTATCACCAAGTTCAAACAGACCTGAGCTGCTCAAAGCAGCTCTTGGGCTATCTATATTTATGGGAGCTGAGTCCAGTCTTGTAGGCAAAGAGGTACCTATTGCTCCTAATGATGCCTCGTTATTTAGGAAGTCTCTTGTTTCTTCGTCAATAGCCAGGCCAGATTCTTGCAATGACAACTGAATAGCAAGCAGAATGTTTGGGTCATCTTCATCCAAAGAACTCAGAGCCTATCAAGACATACAGGATAACTTTTAGAAGAAATACATTTTGCTTTTATCATATTCTGGATTAAAAACGAATCTACCCTTAAACCTGACATTTATTTATGACTGTTGCAAATTGTTTTCCAGAATCAATTATTCCCCAGATTGTTTTACAGTTGTCCACATAATCTAGAAATTGATTTGGTATCTTTATGTTATCTATATTATGGTCTTAGATTCCGCTCTTGTCGCACCAAAAAGAATCATTTAACAAATTCAGGATTCAAAAAAATATGGTAAAGAGGAGAAAAATTCAGGAATGCAAGCAAGCAAAGCAAATGGAAAGCAGATTAGGGAAGATACCTGAAGAGAATCCTGGTTTTCAGAGCGACTGACAGGGGTATAGTCATGAAGCGAAGAGCTGTGCAGAATACCCATAGAAGCTGAACTCACCATGGAGGTACCATGTCTTCTGCTGCTGCCACCTTCCTGTGTATCTGTTCACATAATTTAAACAAAAACATTTAGGACAAAGATGGAAATCCTCCATTTTTCCTTTCTTTTCTTACTGTCCTCTTTTTGCCTTCAAGTACATAGTTTTGCTCCCTTACTCATCCTGGCCTGTACTAAGAAACACAGCGCAAGAAGCAGCTGAGTGCTAGGAAGAAGAACTCCTTCCCCAAGGGCTCTAATGAATGAACCCTTGCTGGATTTGGAGGGAAATATTGGGAAAGAAAACCAGGAACCTTGCAGCAAATAGATCCCCTGGCCTTTTCTGAATATCACCATATGCAGATACCTATATATATTCCCCCCCCCCAGCCACAACTCTTGTACAGTGGAAGAGCATCAGTACTATTACTTTGGGAGCCTGCAAGGTGGGAGAAGGTGAGGGCTGATTTGCGTGTTCGTGCTTCTCTGCCTCTTATTGAGCCCCCCCCATTCATTTCTAAGTTTGCAGCCCAATGGGATAAATAACCATTAATACACAAATTTATAGGCAACATTGTAAAAATACTTCTCAAACCTACTGGTTCATTAGAGAGAACAGAAAAAGGGCCAGAATATGGGATGCACTTACAAGTAATAAAATGGCACCTTTGGCCTTTTTCTCTGTTCTTACACAGCTGTAAACAGAAAATCTTGCTCACTTTAACTTTTCCCATGATGTGTCAATACCTCTAAGAGTAGTGTTGCTAGTGCTGTTTCTGTGCAGTCTAAGTGACATGACTGTTCCTCAAGAAAAAAATGGGAATGATTACTGTTACTGCAAAAAAAATATAAAAGCTTATTCTGGTTTTGATAAGCCAGGGACAAATACAGCTCTTTTGAAATAGGCAAGTGGAATTTTCACTGGAAAATTCAGAATGAAATAAAAGTGAGGCCCAACCAGATTATCCTTTAGTTAAAACTAATTTGGCAGTATAAAAAATTAAGTTACTTTTAGTCTCTGTTTTGAACTACGTGCATCGCTATAATAACTGATACACTGCTTTTAAGAATACATCACTCTCAGTAGTAAACTTGATAATGGTCTTAATTTATTTCTTTAAACAAGTAAATTTTGGGTCTAAACTCTCTATCTGTATAACCATAAGGAAATAAAGAGGCATAAGAGTTGGAATCAAAATTGTCCTTCGTAAGAGTCTCAGTACACAGCTTTCAGAGCTGAGGAATATAAGGTACATAAGCCACTTACGCACCTTCATCGTCTTGGGCTGCTCCAGTGATTGGAGAGCTACCAGCAAAATTTTAAAAGCTTGAAGAGGCTCTAAATTACAGTAGTGCACAGAGGCTACTGCCCTGGTTGCAGCTTACCTAGGAATCTTCACGGTACTACATCCTGTGGCCCGCTGTCCAAGACTCCTATGCTGAAGCCTATCATCAACAGCCCCACGGCCATCCTCACAGTGCCTCCCTCAGGGGAAATCTTTTCTAGGTGGGCATAAAGGGGCTAGCGTGTAGGTAAGAATATCACACTATGTGCACCGTAGAAATTTTTTCCCCAGAAATACAAGTCTGCTGTAAGTAACTAAAGGCCTTGATCTTGTCAAGACAATGCTGAACCACCACAATAGAGCCATTAATACTACTCACTTAACTTTACGTGTACAAGCACAGGATTTGATTCTTATAGTGCAGCCAGAAGGATCAAGTGCTGTATGTTAAACTCTTTTAAATTAATCTTCGAAGGAAGAATCAAGAAACAATTTGAGAGGGACTGAAAAAGCAGGGTGCATACCTAGTGTACTCTCACTAGGGTCATCAGGGTCTGGAGTATTACTGAGTAGACTGTGCATGTCTCCACGGCGACGCTGTCTGTGCCTTCTCCGATACTGAAATTCAGCATATTCCTGCATAAACCAAAAGTTACAAAACACAGGGCAGCATGCAGGAATATTTTTCTGATATAACAGGACATTTTTTATTTAAAAAAAAATGTGTGATTTTATACAGCTATAAAATCACCTGTGCTCAGAAACATCACTTGCAGGTTGCATCATGCAAGAAACTAAAATAAAAAAGGCAGCCGGTAACCCTAGATCAAGAATATTATAAACTAGCAAAGAAGGCTACTTGTTGAGTTGCAGACACTTGAATACTTGCAATCTCCCTTTCTAAAGATTCCAAGCACTCTTCATTTTGTCTAATGGCATTAATACCCAAATTCCTATATTTTAGCTTTTAATAAAACATAATGAATTAGAAATCTTCTCTCTGTTTTTGCCTACCTGTACCATAAAACGAGCCAACTCCAAGGGCCCAAACTAGTTCAGGAGTAGATCTATCTTATGTCAATACCACATCTAATTGGAAACAGTATTTTTCTTTTCCTAATTACAAAGAGTTTCAAAGGGCCAAGTCAGTGTCATAGTGTTAACACTCCTAATGTTTCTGAGTCAGAAGACAAATAGATGTCCATGTTTTCATTTATTTGCTAAAATTAGTTTACAAGATAAAGTGAGCATCTGATCTTGCAACTGAATTGCTAGCCTTGGAAGCAAAGTTGGACCTTACAGGTTCATTTTTACGGTGAGGGTGGCAAGTAGAGTCTTTTCTTAGTGTGGTGATTTATTTGCAAAACACGCCCACTTTTTGTTTCCTTAAACATAGGTGGTAAAAATATACATAGGCATTAAACTGCTTTTCTGAAATCAAACATACTGCTTATTTTCCTTCTTCCACCCCTGCATTTACATATGGTAAACCCCAGATTCATGGATTCCCTTGGACTGCACGGCATGGAAATGCAACCTAACCACTAAGACTCATCTGTACAGCTGCTCTGCATCATAAAAGGTCAGAATTATTTAAAAGCCCAGACAAAAAAGAGCTTGCTGCTCCTCACAGTACTCTCAATGGCTTTCCAGGGCACTATTACTGCATGGTGCTCTTTTATGGAGTGAAAGGGTGGATCTGGGTGGGGGAGTGCAACAGTGTGGTTGCACCCCTCTTTCACCACTGCTAACCCTGGCCAAGTTCAGCAACTTGCACACATGCCCCCAGTCAGTGGGGGAAACAGGAAAGGGGGACCCATCCATTGCTGCCACTGTCCAAGCCTGACCCACTCCAGGTGCAGGCTGCAGGGAGCAGCTGCAAGGGATGCTGGGCTTGGCAGGGGACAGCAGGGGCAACAGGCAGGTTTCCTCTTCCTGCACATGCTCCCTACCACCCCCCTTCCTGAGTCCTCCAGTGGCTGAGGAGCAGGTTCCAGAAGGAGGAACCACTCCACCACCACCACTGTCCCTGGTTGATACAGAAACAGGGGAAGCCCCAGAGTTGCTCTAGCCCAGGGGTCAGCAACCCCCGGCATGCATGCCGAGCACAGCATGCGAGGCCATTTTGCTCAGCACGCCATCGCCAGCTTGGGCTGCCAGCCTCGAAGCCTGGGCTGCTCCCAGCAGGTGGCTGGGCGGCTGCAAGCCCTGCTACAAGTAGACGGGGCTCCATGGTTGGCAGCAGCTACCCAGAGCCTGGGCTGGCTGCAGCCAGCAGGCTGCAAACATCTGCTCCGGGCTCCGACATTAGCTCCATACCAGCAGGTGCATGCACGCCTTGCAGCAGATGGTGGGGGAGGGGCCTGCGGCAGCGCAACCCCGGCCTCTCCCCTGCTGCTGGCACAGAGCTGATTACTGGGCTCTGGAGCCGGGAGCACCTTTTTGTAGCCAGCCTGGGCTCTGGGCGGCTGCAGCAGGCAGTGGGCAGGCTGCAAACAGATGCACCAGGCTCCACAGCCCTAGCATCAGCTCCATGCTGGCAGTGACTGCATGTGCACCTCAGAAAGGACAGCGGGGGGGCTGTGCTGCCTTAGGCCCTATCCCCACTGTCTGCTCCAAGGTGTGCGTGCACCCGCCAGTATGGAGCTGATGCTGGAGCAGCTGTTTGCAGCCTCCCGGCTGCCACTGGCCCAGGCTCTGGTAGCTGCTGCCAACCATGGAGCCCAGTCTGCTTGCAGCAGGGCTCACAGCTGAGCCTGCCTGACTTCCACCTGCTCTGAGCCCAGCCCTGGCCCAGCCCCCACACCGGGATGAGGCGGACACTGCCCCTGGCCAGGAGCACTGCACCTTTTGCGGGCTTAGCTGTGCGGGGTGGGTGGATGGTTGGGCTGATGGGCAGGCTCTGGGCCAGGGCCTCAGTCAGCTGCGCTGCAGCCTGGGGTCTAGCTCCCCAGGAAAGCACAGGGGCTCTGGTGGGACCAGGGCATAGATGGGTCGGATTTTGTCCAGTGGCCCAGGAGCCCAGCTCCATGCACTTGCACAGTTGGTTCTGTGTGTTTGTCTGTCTCTGTCTGTGTGTGCACATGTGTCTGTTCTTTTTTCTCTCTCTCTCTCGTTGCAACATGCTCAACAAAAAAGGAATACACAAATACAAAGGCAATATTTATGATTATTAAATATACTAATATGCAGTGCCATGTACCCCCACTCATTTTGGTTTTCTGGCATGCCGGCGCTCCGGCACCTTCCAAAGTAGACGTGGTTTTTTCGGCACTCCAGCCAAAAAACGTTGCCTACCCCTATTCCAGCCATAGGCTGCAGAGAGCAGCTGCATAAGGTGCTGGGCTTGGTCAGGGACAGCAACAGTGATGCATGAGTTCCTCTTTACTGCATCTGCTCCCCTTCCCAGTGGAGGACTCAGAGGCGCAGGGGGTGGGCAGCAAGCAGGCACTGGAAGAAAGAACCTGTGTGCCTGCCTGGCTTGAGCAGGGCAGGAGCAGCTCTGGGGCTCCCCTCATATCTGGTGCCAAGTGGGGACAGCAGCAGTAGTGAGAAGGTCCTTCCTCTTCCTGTGCCTGCTCCTTGCAAGGCTCTCTGTGTCCCATGCTAGTCTGGGGACTTAGACTATGCGGGGATGGGAACAAGATATGGTCTGAGGGGCAGCAAACTGCATCCTCTTTATTACATCCTAGGTCCACCTATGGATTCAAACAACGTGCTGACATTAAGACATATGCAAGTCATAAGCATTTTTTACCACAATGTGGCCTGACACTTGCTCCACATGGAGTCTCCCTGAGAACATGGGTCCACATACACAGCCTTAAGTTGAGATTTGTGACCCTCATTACTTGATCTTGAGACCTACTGACTTTTTTTTACACCATGTAAAAATGCACATAATTTGGGGATTGTGAATGATAAGAAAAAGCCTGGAAAGTCAGGCAGATATCATATGAAAGATCATTTTTTATTTGGTTGCAATAAAAATCACATATTTTATCACTGACTGTTTTAATGACAATTTTGATTTCTTGAACTCAATACAGTTGTGCTTCAGACAACTATCTCCACTATTCCAGATAAAATGTTTTTTTCTGATTTTTTGGAAAGACTATGTCTTTTAGTAAAGGAAGTTTTAATCTTACTGCATGGAAGCATAGATTTTTCATTATCCAGACTAAATATATTCTTTTTTACTGAGAACATTAACATTTTATCTATTCTTGTTAGACTACTGTGATAGCATGGCCTGGAGTATGCAAATATCCTATTAATTGTCAGCAAAAGTACATAATTATGCCAGAATGACTGCCTAGTGAATTTCACTGACAATACACACTGAGGACTATTATTTTCTCTACAAAAAGCCTTTAGCACAGGTGGTTGCAAGTATCTCTGGCAGCTAAAGAGCAAAGGGACCAATTTAAATCAGTCAGTGTCATAGTTGGGCAAAATATAAAAGCTAATCAACTGTCATCTTAAGATGACTGCCTTGATACTTTATTGATAAATAGAAGCTTTCCCTTTTCTAATCAGCCTTTTCTCCTACCCTGTTCCTCCTGTGATGTAACATCACAGTTAGCTGAGCATCATAAAACATTGAATTATTTAGGAACAGAGGAAGGACCAAAGGAATTGGACAGGAGAAGCAAGCTGATTAAGGTGCAAGCGACTTTCTCAACAGCACGTTGCTAAGCCAGTAACAATAGAAAAGGAAATATATATAAAAAATGCATGGATTTTTTTCTAAAACATGGTAGTTTTCCAGGGTGAGTGAAAGGGATTAGCTCCCTTAAAAGAACAAAAAAAATAAACCAAGGCAATGCAGAGGTGAGACTACCCCTCTAACTGAGCTTTGATCCGAGACTGCTGAAATACATTAGAGGGAAGGGAAAAAAGGAAACTGCACATATTTTACTTATCGCAGTGCTTTAAAAAAAAATAAAATAAAATAAAAATCACACATTCTTCCTACATTTATAAATTTAAAACATTACAATTTGAACTCATCTTGTTGACAACTGTCCTTCTCATAGAAAAAGTGGTATCATTTGTGACATCAATCATGTTACTGAACTGTATCAGAAATAAATCAGTTTCCAGTTTGTTCTGATACTACTTTAGCATCCAGAGTTTGCTTAAAATTTAAACAAAACGTTTAATTTTCAACCTTTAATATTTTTACTGGATTGTTAAATCACTGAAGGACAGAAACTGCTGTACCAGTTTATTTAGGTTCTGTACTAGGCTGCTTTTGTATTCAAAGTAAAATTGCAGTTTTTGTAAATTAATTATGAAAAATTGTAAAAAATGTAGGCACCAAATTTATTCCTGGATTCTTGATTTGCTGTGAGAATAGTAAAAAAATATGAAAAACGGCTAATCTGGTGCCAGCCATAAAAACCGTGTTTGCATTAGGCTCTTTGTTTAGACTCACCGTACAATTAACCATGCATATATTTCCTTCTATTGTGAAGCAAAGAAAATGGAAAGCTTAAACCAAACCTTGCCAAACTTGGTACAATTTGAAACAAAATGAGGAAGCTCTCCATGCAAGGTTGAATTATACCACAGTTTCCATAATATGCACAGCTACGGTATACTGAAGTTGTAAAAAAGAAATAGGTTACCTCAGGTGATGCAAATCCTAAATATTCCCAATCCCATGTGCCACCAGCAAAGCTGTAAATTAAAATCAAATACGTCATGTAATTTATGAGTAAAATATGAATAGTAGATTCTTACCAAGCTACAAAAGCTGTCTAACATTCACAACTCTTCTGCTCAATTGTTCCATTCATATAAATGGATCAAAACACTGTAAAATTAAATTATTCAAATTTACTGAATTATTTACTATTCTCAGTTATTATTTATAGGTTATGATGTGAGCCAGGTATTTAATGTCTATCTGCAGTGGAAGGACATGGAATGGAGCCACAAGTACTTAGCTAGCCATTCATGGTTCCCAAAAGGAGATGCAAATTGCACTGTAAGAACCAGACCTATTACAATGATTAACCTGGACAGGAATCATTAGAGCAATAATATAACAAATTGCTTTGGGGTACAACCTCAGAGCATGTCAGTGTCCTTTATACTTACTATTATTATAATCTGCAATTCCATGCATTTTCATGCAATGTTTAAAACAAAGTCAAAATTTAAAAACGATTTCTGGGTTTAATATCGTTTTGCCATGAAAGGAAATAAAATCAGGGATAGATAACCTACTAACTGTAGATCAAACTTATAACACCTGAAATAAGTAAAAATTTAATCCAAACAAACCACACATAGCAAAAACATAGCTGCTCTGAATCAGTTTAACAATTATTTTAAAACATTAGTGATATTTTATTAATGAGGAATTAACACTTCCTGCTTGTCAGCTGACCAGATACAAATGTTAATATAATGGCAACCTTAGCTGTAAGAATGAATGCCAATCTGACTAAAGGTGTACAGACTATGAATGGGAGTCTTTAGATTTCTAGCTAAATGAGGGAATCCATGACTTCCCTCTATCATTTCCCAAACTTCAAGGATGGATTTCTGTCAAATCATGAACCATTTCCTTTACTAATACTACTTCTGCATCTGTGTGGAAAAACTCTGCAACAAAACTTCATGAGAAACATGTCTGGTTTGGGGGTTCTGGTACCAATTTAAATTTAGTTGAAGTTCCTAAATGTATTGGATGTATGTATGAGATTAAGTGACACTGGGCACGTCTACACCTTCAGCAATTCACCATAATTATGGTGCATTAAGTTTATTACCTGTTATTACAACTTCACAGTAGTACCAGCACACGGTTTTCTTGTGATGTTAATGCGCAGTAGTCTAATTCTATGGAGCATTAGCACCGCTTTTGGTGTGATGCGCTAATATGTAGTAAAATTAGTCCACCGCACATTTAATGTCTTTTGTAGAAGTGTCCACTAGCAGTTTAGTAGAGTCTCATAATTTGAAATTTAAGGTGAAAATGAGAGTGTAATTCCACACAATCCAAATGGGAAAAGAAACGTTGCTGAAACCATGATCTAGAACTACCAAAGTTGTCAGCTCTTTTAGGCATGTCTCACTGTGTGTTTCAGAACAGCACTACTTAATGCAGGGGCAGGAAATTATTTCGGATGGAGGGCCGCTTAACAAATTTTGGTGAGCTGTCAAGGGCTGCAAGGGTAGCCCCACCTCTTGACAGGTGCCCCACCCCCTGGTTGCCATCTTGTGACCAGAAGTCCCGCCCCCTAACCCCAGACTCTTGCCACCAGAATTCTCTCCCCTTGCCCAGGAAGTACTCCTTTTGGGAAGGGGGGCGGGGGTTACATGTATATTGTATGTGGATGGGAAGGGGGGTGTATGTGGTATGTGTGTGGTTAGGGAAGTAAGTGGTTGGGGGTACATGAAGAGTATGGGTGGGGCATGTGTGTATGTTTGTGTGGGTGTGGTTGAGGTGTTGGGTGTATGGGACTGTTGGGTATGTGTGAGGGTATGGTGGGTGGAGTGTGTGGAGGGGTGGGAGGGTGTATGTGTGGATGTGCGTGGGGTGTGTGTGGTTGAAGTGTTGGGGTGTGGGTATGTTGGGGTTAGGTGTATGTGTGGATGTGCGTGGGTGTAGGGTGCATGTGTGGGTATGGTGGGGTGTGTGGGACAGTGTTGGGTGTGTGTATGGGTATGGTGTGGTGTGGGGCATGTGAGTGGGTGTAGGTGCAAGTGTGGGGTGTGGTTGGGGTGTGGGTAGGTTGGATGTGCAAATGTGGGGGGCTTCCTCCCCCCACTCGGCTTCCCGCCTGCCCACTCTGTGATGTGGCTGAACCCCGCTCCTCTGCAGGTGGAAGGAGGGAGATGGGGAGGGGGATCATCACTATCTGCCTGGCTTGATTCTGGACCCATTCTGGCTCCTGCTGCTGCTTCCACCCCACCTGTCTGTCTGTGTTGCCTAGTAGGGCTTTGTTAGCAGCTGAGCTCCTTCATGCCCCCCACTGCATCCACACACTCCTCTGCCCAGCCATGCACAAGCAGGACCAAAGTGAGCTGCAGGCAGAGCCCACCCTGCTCCCCTCAACACTGCAGCTTCCCTTTTCTACCTGTTGCCTGGAGCACTGCAGCAGGGACAGGAGGAGGAGTTGCTGGAGGCTGGGGGAGCCCAGCAGTTCACTGGGTAGTGGTAGCAGCAGGCCTGCCTGGAAGCTGTGCCTGTTGGCCAAGGTTGGCACCCTCTGGGAGGGGAGGCTGGGAGTGCAGCAGGCACTGCCCCAGGCAGGAACGGGTGGGACTCAGTCCCATGCAGAGTGCAACAGGGGCAGCTGCTGGCAGGGCCAGATACAATTAATTGGTGGGTGCCTGCCTGCAGGCCAGATCCAAACAGCCGGTGGGTTGTATCCAGTTAGTGGGCCGTAATTTCCCCACCTCTGACTTAACAGGTCAACTCATAACCTGAACTTCTCAGGGTTTGCACATCCTTAGATTTTACATTTAAGTTACCTGCGCCTGGGAGCTTCTGGCGAGTCAGCCGGAGCCACTCCACGGGCCACAGAAGCCAAGAACTCTTGCCTCTTTTGCTGCACAAGACATGCTGCCCGGATGATTTTATGACGAGGAGTACGAAGGTAAGGCCTGTTTACTTTCTGTGCCAGGTCTTCAGTGACCATTTCTAAGTCTGTCTGCAATAATTAATAAATAAAGCAGGACATATGGTGTTACTGTAAAATAAAGGAGACAATTCTGCATGGGTAGCATGCTGCTATGAATAATTCCACTCTTCTGAAGATGCCATCCTGACAGGGGTTTAATCCCTGGTGTTACCTCCTTAACAGGAAAGCCCCCTCAGCCCCCAAAGAGTCTTTGTCTCTGAAGGCAGTGATGTACCAGGACTGTGTATCATCCTGACCAATATTGTGTCACTGTTTCCTGTATCCACCTGTTCTGTCTGATCTTATACTGGAAACTCTTCGGGGCAAAGACGGTCTTTTGGTTCTATTTGATGCAGTGCATGGTACAATGGAGTCCTGATCCTGGACTGGGGTTCCCAGCCATTACAGCAATACAAATAACTAACGATGATAGCACTAGTAATAGCAGCACCAGTTGGTAGGGAGTGAGCAATGCCATCTTGTGGTGAGTGTTCACCACCCTCTGCAAGACGAAATAAACTGTCCCAATTCCCCTCTGTTCCTCATTTGAGGAAACCAATGAGGAGCTTTCTGTGGGGAAAAAAAATCATCCTGATGAGATTTTCACTTGCCACACACCCCTATACTCATCTGTGGATTATTTTCTTTGATACTTGCATCTCAATTATAATGTATTTTGGAGCATTTTTGGATATGATTAATTTTTTTTAATTGCCTTAAAGAGTTTCACCTACTGTACAAACAAAGGGGCTGATTGAATTTTTAAAAAGGCACCGTTTATATGCAGTACAAAGTTTATCCTTTACTGTATTCCATGGCCACTGCTGTCTGGACCCAAAATGTCTGTCTTTATTAGATTTATATCTTATCCTATCCTATCCAAAAGGCTCAGAGTGATTTACAATAAGGAAACAACCTACAGACAGGATTCTCAAAACATCCCCCCAAAACCCGAGAACTCCAACTCCCCTCCTCCCCGCCTGTACCTCCATACAAGCAAGCCCTCCTGCCAATACCAACAATTCCCTGCAACCATCACTCCCATCAAGAAACAAGAAATCTTTTCCCACCCCCCCACCAGAGAGTCCTCCCATGTCCTCCCACATCCCCTCTAAGCCTGCAGTTCCCCCCTACAGAGAGGCTGAGGCTGTCAATCCCTCCTAACCCTATCCCCCACACATTAACACCCCCAAACACAACACTCAACTCAGAACCCTAAACAAAACAGCAAAAGAAAGGACCTTCGTTCCCCACCTTGGCCACTGTCAGCAGGGCCTGGCCAGGGAGACCTGCTAGCTTTGTAGTAGCTGCAGGCTAGCCAGGTCCCTCTCCCTCCTTTAGGGTGGTAAAGATAGCACCTGGCTGGACCTCAGCACTTCCCCAAATGGGAGGAAGATGGGAAGAGGGAGTTTTAAGTAGTCCCTCTCTTTTCATAAAGCTGGAATTGCTTTTTCATTGCCAAGCTGAAGTAAAATATATTGCTTTTCAGAATATAGTGTTTCAGCCCTGCCAAAATTGCTCTTCACTCAAGTCTCTCCTATAACACCACAATTTGTTGCAGAGATTTTTGAAAAAGAATTTAAAAAACACACCAGTTTAACGCTAGAGAAGAAACAAGAGTTAAACATATTTCTTTTCATATGATCACAAGTATGAACTAAGTTGGAGATGTTTATACAATCAAAATGACAATATATTATGGATAACTAATACTGCAAGAAAATTATGTGATAAAAAGTGAAATCTGTATATTTTACCTGCATCAGTTCAAATATCTCTTTCTTTGTGCTTTTCGGTTCCAAAAAGAATCCATAGGGATAAGAACACTTGAGAATACGGCGAGTTTTTAGAAGCTCTTGTACTGCATCTTCAATGAAAGTGGTATCTGGACAGCCTCCTTCAGCTGTAAGGCAACACCAGCATTGAAAAAACATGTTTCTCCTGAGCTCAATTTTAATTTTACTGTCAAGAGATTCTTCCCAAAGTAGAATAAATGTATTCTCAGGTCAGTTTGCAAATATTTGCTGAAAAAACTCCACTCCAGGCTGTAAATGATTTGGTGCAGCTACAGTCAGCTTATTCAAGTGATCTCCCACATTTACTTGAGTCCAAGACAAGCCCCCTCATTCAGCATGGGGAGGGAAGAGCCCCTCATCTCGGATTCAAGTACAAGGCAGGGGGCAGGACGCCCCTGCAGCTCTGGTTCCAGTCCCCACCTGGGCTCAGAGTCAGAGCTATAGCCTCATCTCCACCATGCTCCCCGCCACCTGCTCCCCCTCCACCTCTGGCCCCTGCCTCTTCCCCTTATCCTAATGGCCCAGCCCCTGCCCAGCCTGGTAGCAGTGGCAGTAGCAGCTCTGGCCCCAGCGTGAGCCAGTCTTGGAGCAGGAGTTGCTGCTACTACAACTGCTGCTGTCTGGCTGGGTGGGGGCCGAAGCTCATTCCCCCGAAGGTAGTGGGGGGGGGGGGGTGCACATACATGGCAGGGCAGACAACAGGTTGGACGAGTGGGGGACAGGCATTGGGGGGTGGGGTGACAAGCAGCAGGGAGTGCAGGCATCATAGTTGCTGGGGGGGGCAGGGGTGATGAGAGCAACGGGTGAGGGGGACAGGGGGCATGGTCCAGGGGACAAGAGACGGGTTAGGCTGCTTGACTGCTCTGCCACCTGCCCCTCTGTTGCTGCTTGTCTACTTGCTGCTGCTTTCTCCACTGGAGCAGAGGTGGAGGAGGGGAGGGCAATATAAGACAACACTCCAATAATTATAGTCAATGCACAGAAAATTACTTGGAGGGTCATCCTAAATTTGAAGTCATCTGGGATTTGTGTATATAAAGTATTCCCTATGCTCACTCAGGAGCTTGCTTGCTTGTTTTGTAGGTTAAAAAAAATCCTACTTTTTATTCACACCAGTATTGCAGGCCCATGAATAGTCTAGTCATGAAAAACAGATAGCTTGATTGCTTGGGCCACCTGGGTAAAACTGACCAGAGGTCTGGATTCTCACTCCTCCAGTGGGAATTCATACAGTCTCTACACAAACACAAATTTCAGTCTGCACGTGCAGAGGTCATTGTGCGATCAAGGATTTATTGTTTTTTCTTTATTATATGTAGATTTCTCTATAAAGTAAGGAAATAAACTGATTCAGAACAGATACCTGAATAACAAACTTTATATAAAAAACTGTGTTGTGCACTGGCTGTTCACATGAATGCATTTCCTCACTGTTAACAGGTTACTGTTTTAAAAAGGAAGGGCTTTCTGTATACAGCATATATACTGTACTTTCTAATGCACCCTGGGATCCTGCAGGGTGAAATACACTATATAAATGTACAATACTAATAGTGTGATTTAAAATATATTTATTAATTTAACATTTTGCCCTGCCTGCCAGGTACTCTAGTAAAGAAGTGGTTAATAAATATATGGAAACAAGAGTGAGTAATTGGTACACACTGATATTAAAAGAGAATAATCATCAGTCAAGGACTCAAGGAAACGCCATATTAACCAGAACTGGTTAAAGATGAAAACTGAGAAGATGAAATGTGCAGCAGTAGCAGTCTGAAAAAACTGATTTATTGTAAGCATCAATATTAATAAAGAACAAATCTGAAAAAGAGCAAAATTTTTGTTTAGTTTAGAGATATTTGACTTCAGATTACCATTACAGATCACAGCAAATACTAACAAACACCACTTACTTCCACTGAGAGCTCTACTCAGCTGCTCCATCTTTTCTTTGGCTGTTTTTAGAAGGCGCTGTTCTAACTAAAAACAAGGGAAATAAATAAAATACAATAAACTACTCTAATTTCTGGACTAATAAAGTGGGAACAAAAATTTCCAGAAATGCTTGGGGCCACACCTGATAGCTGAGTTCATGGTTCTTAAACCGTGTGTAATAGTGCATAAACCTGTCAAGCTCTTGAAATCTTCTGTGTTTCTTCTCAGCCTAGAAAATTATTAAAAAAAAAAAAAAAATCAAATACGAGTAACTCATCCAACCTATTTTAGCAATCATTAACAAATACAACTGTGTGCTCAACTGCTTGCATTAGAGCAAATATTTAAGGTTTTGTACACAAATATCAAGGGGACGTGGCGTATCTAAAATAGGCAAAAATGAAACTTCTAAAACTCATAAATCTAACAGAGGTAGATATTAGGACTGTGGAATTTTTGTGTGTCTAGAAGTCAGTTTAAGCAGAGGCTTCAAATACATGAAAACATTAAGATACATAGCACTTTTGTCAGGCACAGTAGGCAACTGAATTAGTAATATACCTATTTGAGAGAATGGTAACCAAAGTGTAGAGAAATACAAGGACAAGTCACCCAGTGGGCAAAACCAAGAACTGAATAATTCCCATGCCCAAATCAAACCTAGGCATCATCTTCTTCCCATCATTTCCATACGATATTTAGAGTTACATTTTTCCACCTAGAACCTTAGATGGGAAAAAGTGAAATTCAAACAAATGCTTCTTCATTAAATCTATTCATCATGCTACATAAGACAGAAAATTACTGCCCAAGTACTTTAAGTTTAAATACTTACCTCTACCGTCATTTCCTTGGATTGTTCCTCTACATGCTGAATAACTTCATAGCGAGTACATCTGTAATAGCCTCCAGTAGACGAGCTATGTTTTTTCCATTCTTCTAGGCAAATCCAGCAAAAATCATATTTGCACTTAAAAGAAGAAAAAAAAATCTGAGAATTTCTGCCTCCAAGTATGTTACAGATTTTGCGTAGTGACTCTTCCAAAACCAAGGGAAACAACAGAGTTCACAGAAACAGTACAATTCCAAAGGTGGTCATGTGACAACAAGAAATGCCCAAGAATGCTCCTAGCAGAAGTACACAGATTGGAAGAGGTCTGGGTGCCATGTGAAAGTGCATAATTTCTTGCAGGGAAAGCTGTGGATGCTACAGGGAAAGTTTCAGGTTAGTGTAGTAGAACAACAGTTTAAACAGAGCTGGCTGGGAATTTTTTTTAGAAGACTGAAAAAAATGTAGATTCACTGATACAGAAACAGTTCACGGAATGTGAGTAGAGAGATGGTACGCTTCACTGGTATTCCTCACAGAAGCCTTTCTGCCTCAAGGAATGTTTCTATCTGTTGCTACCCTTTTTTTCCCCTAGTATTTCTTATATTTGTCTCTTTATCCCCGATTCTTCCTTGCCAATCTGGAAAAAGGGAGCAGGGACACGGCTGAAACCTTCACCACTTTTCAGCACTGACAACTGAATCAGCATGAAGTTCTGGCACTAATTCTGGGACCAGCTTTTCATCCCCCACACAATGCTGCTGCACTATTTGAAATCTTTCAAAGCTGAAAGAAGTCCTCCAGGAGCTTCTAGCACCCTCTGTGCAGTCTGACAGGTGGGATCCAATTTCTCGTTCCTTGACACAGGCTGCCCCACGAGCACTGGACCATTCAGATTTTCTCCAGCCTGCTGTGTGTTGTTGTAGACCTGCTTCTTGATGAAAGATTCTTAGGAGCCCTCCTTATCAAATGCCACTTTTGCATGTTCTGTTCCCTGCTCACTTGAGGATGCTGGCAGTTGCTGGGACTTAAGAATGTCAGAATTAGATGGGACCTCAAGGGGTTGTATTAACCCCCAGCATGAATGCAGGAATGCTATTCCTAAACTTTCTCAAATGCTTCTCCAGCCATCTCCTGAAACCCTTCAATGATGAAGGTTCTACAGTTTCCCTCGGTAGTCTGTTCTACTGCTTCACTCTCCTAACCGTAAGGAAGTTTTCCTGAGATCTATTTTATATCTACTATGTTGCAAAATAAAACATTGCTTCATGTCCAGTCCTGCGCAGCAAGGGAGAACAATTGTTCTTCTCCTTTATGGCAGCCTTTCAAATATTTGAAAACTGCTATAATGTCCCCCTTTATCCTACTTTTCTCCAAGCTAACCAAACTTAGTTCTCTCACCCTTTCCTTCTACAACTTTTTTTCCAACCCCTCCTACCATTTTTGTCACACACTTCTGAATCCTCTCCAACTTCTCCATACACTCCTTAAAATGTGGAGCCCAGAGCTATATACAATACTTTAGATGAAGCATAAGCAACATCTAGTAGAGAGGCCCTATAAACTTGTTGTATATTATAACTTATAATCTCCTGTTGATGAAGCTCCAAATTATATTTGCACCTGTCACATTGTTGACTCATGTTGAATCTTGATCCATTAAAACCCCCAGATCCTTCTTAACAACACTACTGTTCAGCCAGCTATTTTCCATTCTGTATGCCTGCATTTAGTTATTTTTCCCTAGGCAGAGCATCTTACATTTGTCTGTAGTGAATTTCATTCTGTTGTCATTGATCCCACTTTCCAATCTATCAAGATCCTTTTGAATTCTACTCCTTTCCTCCAAAGTGTTTGCAGTTCTTCCCAGTTTTGTGTCACTTGCCAACTTGATCTGGAAGCTCTCTGTTCCACCATTCAAATAATTTAAAGACATGTTAAATAGCACTGGAGCAAAGACAGACCCCTGTGGAACCCTTTCTTGAAACCTCCTGCCATTTGGACACTGATCGACTTAAGCCCTGCTTGCAGTTATTCAGCATTTATGTAACTACCTGACACCAGTTTTATACAGCCCACATTTATTCAGTTTATTTAGTAGTTATGGTTTTGGAGTTCGTTTACAGACAATTTTCAAGATTTCAATTTTCATGCCTATTTGGACTAGGTACATTTTTTAGAATCTCAAAAATTCTTTGAGGACAGGGAAACAGGTCCCACTCAGTTCTAGTGGGATCTACATTAATAAATTAAGAATCACCTTGCTGCCTTGAGCTGCTAGCTTGATATCTTAATAGTGCAGCCTGTGAACAAACATGAATAAGCAAGTGGTATGCCTCACTGCTATGGTAGAAACTAAAAGTATGTGTTAAGACATGCTGAACACTACAGTAGTTTTACCCAACAAATTACTAAACTCTCATAGTCTAAAAAACTGAGGCAGAAGGCAGGACAGGGTGGCACCATAGAGACTGCCCTTCCTCCAATCACCTGATGCCTGAAAGCTTGTCCAACACCTCTCCCAACTATACAGGTGGTCCAATAAAAGGTATCGCATAAAAGCCTTGTTCTCGACATTTCCTGGACCATCATGACTTCAGCAACACTTCAACCCAAACAAAATGTACAATTTCTCTCAGTCAATTTTAGTTTGTCACCTTTAGTAGTCTAAATAACCTGCAGAAGCAGTTAATACCTTAAATGATAACTGCTAAATTAAATCCCTTGCTTTTCCAAATTTGATCTCACAAATGGCACAGTGCTGCAGACGCAGTACTTGACTGAAGGAGGCTGCTTCTTGGTATTGTATTGTCATATCTTTGTTCTTCCACATGCTTGTGCTGTTCCTGTTTGTTTATAAAGATGAGATGAAGAGACTGAGGGAAGTGTTGAGAGTGTGTATGTAACAGACTGGAACCATGTATACAATTTTATAATGTTAAGAGTAGAAATATATAATGGTAGGAGGAGTGAGTGCGTTAGTTCACAGAAATATATTTCTCTTATTTCACTATCGTCTCATTGGCAGTGAAAGGCATCTCTTTTAATGGGATGTGGCTGGAATCAAATATCTCCCACTGTCATTTTCATTTGTCTCACCGTCTTCATGGGATGGCCTTGGTAGCATCTTCAACTAATGAACATGCATATGCACCAGAGCTAAAATTTTTCTTCTCTCTAATGAATCTATAGCTTACTACTTGGTGGAAAAATTTCTCAGAATATTTTTACAGTTAGTTTTAATTCCCTTTATTCAATTTGCTTTTGGAGATATCTCTTGTTCCAATGAAGGTAAATAATAATGGAAACTCTGCATGAAATTAGTCCAGATATTCTGGTTTCTTCTAGAAAAAAGTCATGCAGCTCTTAAAAATGAGTTTTTTAAAGCTCAAATTGTTCTTAAAAAGAGAACTTAAATTTTCATTATAGAAGGCCCTGTCTTTTCTGCTTATCACCTTCTTCTGAGCTTGTCTTTCTTGTTCGTTATTTGCTATTTGACCGAAAGATTCCAGATGTATTCTATCTTTTAGTATTACATTTATAATTTGTAATTAAAGCCTTCCATTAAAATATTCACTACAAGGCAAAAGTAACAATAACTACTACTAATATGCATCTTTCAGAACCTAGTATAAAATTAAATAGCAAAGAGATTTCTGAATTAGATGTTGTGATCCCAAATGAAGCTGCAATGCTTATAGGTTTCATAAATCCCATGGATAGATATTCTACTGGAAGAGCTGGGTGTACACCAGAAGAGGTGCCACAAGCTTACTGGAAATGTGATTGTGAACCTGAAAAGACTCATGGTATGGCATTCATGTAAACATATGTGGAAATAATAAATAAGGGTTTATGGCTAAGGAAGTACCATCCTCATTGACACATTCGGTGGTTGCTGCTAATTGACAATAAGAATCAATCGCCTAGGAACTTCCTTAATTTACATGAACATTTAATTTTATTAATAAAGTAACCCAAAAAAAGTATTCAGATTACTATATACACCAGGCATTAAACCTTTGAAAAGAATAGTTAGCATTCTCCTCAAATTCAGGAACTTAAAATTAAAATAGCAAATAATAATATGTTTATAATAATTTTGCCTCAGTATTGATACCTTTACAAGGTTTATGTATATTAAGGGGAACTCAAAAGACCTGGGGAGACAGCAAGATAAATCTTTAGTAACTTTGGAGTAGATAAGGAATAAAGGATAGCCTGCTTTGAGAGGCTGACACAAAATGCAATGACTCACCAGAATCAAACATTTAGGATCAGATTTTCTACTTATTCTGAGCTATGTTTGGACAGAATGGAATGTGGCAGCCAGAGCCAGTTGTGGCTCTCTGCTCCTCACTGACTAAGCTCCAGCAGGAATTTGAGAAGCAGGGAACAGATCTGACAGATTTTAACTTCTGTTAAAGGGAGAAGTTAATAGACCCTTTATGCTAAGGAATAAAAAGATGCAAAAGATGTCCAGCTCCACAACATGTCACTTGTAGAATGCCTTGGTGTAACCTTTCCCCTTTCTTTTACCTCCTTCCCTTCCCCTACAGCCAAGGGGAAGCTGGTGCAAGAGGTGGCAAAGCTGTCTCAGCTAGCTTTTTGCTTCTCTTGAAGAATTCATCCCTGGCTCTCTGGCTGTTTTAGGACCACTTTACACTGCTTACAGGATTCAGTTACCTTAGAAAACTGGGGAATTTGGTCCTTAGTCACCACCTCAAAAACTAGAGTAGGTTTAATGGTGAAATCCAAACAAGCCTAGAATATATAACACTTGCTCCAGTTGGGATGAGTTCAGTGGCACAAACTACCATCAAGTAAGTGAAAAGAATTCAAGCTACATCCAAACATTTCAGCCATTCAAATCCTTCTATGACTGATTATTTCAACTACCCATCCTTACCACATGGATAGGAACTTACATTCCGGAAAATTTCAAACACAATTGAATAATGTAGGCTTGACATCTGTAACAACTGAATTATGAATTCTCTTCTTTAAGATCATTTGTGAAGAGAAAAAGATAAATGGGAAACTAAGAAAGAACCAGAGTGTGACAGGTTCTGTTTCTGCTCGGAGTAAAAAACCCTCCTATACATAAGTGGGGAAAAGTGAGAAGGAGTGTGCACTAGCAGCAAAATTAAAAGGACATTTGGGTGGCTAAGAGCAAGAAAGCAAGCTAGCCTGCTTTTTGGAAAGACAAAACAAAAAAGGGAAATATTATAATTTTCTAACCAAAGGCCTATTTTATTAGAAGCTAACTATCTATATCAAATACGGGTTTAAATTGTGACTGAGATGTCCTCTTCTCCATCTGAAAACTGCATGTTAGCAAACAAACAGGATATTAGCCATGCTTATGTAAAACAAATACTCAAGAACAAGACTATATTTTGCTGTTCCAAATATTAATTTAATACTCCAAATGAATATTAGCTCATTTGGGGAAAAAGGATGGCTAAAATGATTTTGACACTAGTACAAAATATTTTCTATTTCTGTAATGTGCTGCAAACTCAGGAGTAATTCTCTGGCTACTGTTACCCTAAGTCTCTCTTGGTACCAAGGCTCTGGATTTCTTACTCACATTGAATATTTTGTTTTTCTTCCAGGCTGACATTATTTTAATATTTTCTGTTCAAGTTTGTTATCACCTTAGTTCACTTTGTACTATTTTCTTCATCTTCATTAGCATTTACAACTGCTCAACATTTCATACCGTTGGCAAATTCTATGCTTTTCACTTTCTCTTCCAGCTCATTAATGAAGATTAAACTATACGAAAAGCTGTATGGTTCTCTAACCCATTCCTCCCACTTTACTGCTAATAATTTTTCTTTGTTTATAATAATTCAATCAGTTGTACATACATGTGGTTATGTCCTTTGTCAATCCAATTTGGAGCTGGTAAGAAAAATGTCATGTAATATTATATTGCAAAACCAAGTATGTTATATTTGCAGCTTCCCTCCATTTGTGAAAGCTTTATTTCTATTTACAGGTTCTACTAGCCTCTATACATGATATTTTAGAGGCTTTATATGTTTGCATTTATGAAATAAACACATATATGTATGCAAACAATCTGACTTACAACTTCTACCAAATATAACAGGGGTCCTTCTTACCTTAGCACACTGCATGTGGTTGCAGCCCTCATTCTTCTGAATAGGAGATTTGCAGTTAGCACACGGTTTGGAGTTAGTTAGCAACCACAGGCAGTTGGCAGCATCTTCATAAGCCTCACTAACCCCCACAACTTTGGAGGGAAAAAATAACAGGAAAGTTAAGATTATACCCATGTAACCTTTTGTGTACAACAAGCAGTGTTTCCCTAATTGCTGAAGGTGTGCGTTAACTCAGTGTCTTCCTGGCCCCTGGTCCGGATACCATTTCCACCACTGCTGCTACAGTCTCTGGGATCTCTCCCTTCCCCAGCCTCCAGCTTCTACATCCTGTCCCCAACTCCAGGGGGTGGAGGTGAGGTATCACAGCCCATGAAGCCAAGGAAGCTACAGTAAGGGGACTAGGGGAGACTTAGGGACTCCATGAAGCATGGAGATGTTCATGCCTGCAGCAGGGGGCACACCAGTACAATGTGGTGGGGGTTGTGTGCTACACAGCACAGCCAGGGAGGCATATGTGGTGTGGTGTGATGTGCTATCTTGCTCATGTGGTGTGCAGTACAGGGTGAAGTGAGGCCCCTAACCACTCAGAAGCTGGACAGCCCTGCATTAAATGCCATATGTTAGCAAAAAACAAAACAAACCAGGATGGGTTTGACCAGCATAGTATAATCTAAAGGAAACATATTTCTCTGCTATATATTATTCTGTGCTTTACACTGTAATTTATTAAACATGTTACAAGAAGTTGCTTACTGAAATTTAAAACCCCATATTAGAATCTATTTGAAAAATATCACTTTTACGTAGTCCTATTTTGTTCCTATGGACCACGCTAAGTACACATGTACCTGTGTTATTTGACCAAGGCTACATTGTCTCTCCCCCACTTTTTTATATATATCATCTTTTATTTCTCTAAGGTTTAGGGAAGTTACTTTAGGATAAAGCATAAGGGCTGATTTAAGTACAATAAAAATAAATATTTCCTATAATATTATACAATAAAAATTGAAGGGGAATAAACATTTTAATATAATTTGGCTCTAGGCACTCTCACTGGCTGAACTGTGTGAAAGGAATATTAATTTGAAGCAGTTTTAAAGCAGGGAAGATAATATTTATTAAACTAGACTTCCCATTGGAAAGAAGGAAGTTTGAGGAAATCTCATTCATAAATGGGAAATCTAGAATTTCAATGTTAATTAATTTCTATTTTAAAATGTTTGTTTAATGATGATTTACTAATAAGTACTTACATACCATGTTATATATTCTAAGCACCAGAGAAACAACTCGATTATGATTTCATTTAACAGTGACATCAGCAGGTCTGACAATGGAGTAACATCAACATAAAACAGGCTTGAAATACAAATAAAATCCTTGACAATTAATTTAAACTTGTAAAATAGCCAATATCTTTTAAGATAATAAAGTTATGTTACCTGTACTCAATGTTCTTCAAGCTAACCTCTGCACACGTCCTTTTTTTTTTAAATATGCTACCCTATCAGTTGCACCACAGGGTAGCATATTTCTTTCATGGAGTCCTAAATCCAATTCGAGGCTTGGAGGAGGAGGCTGCTGCATCACCACCTCCTTTAAAGCCTATTATCTGAACACTGCATGCTGCAAGGGCTGGGGAAAGAGAGCACAACAGTGCTGCAACAGACACTGCTATTCAAAGTAAGCATTTTCAGGGGGCACTTGGAGGAAATTTTGCTTTACAACAACTTTGAAAACCTTGGGTTTCCAATTCAATAGAGTTATAAGATACATTTACTATACCCTAACCCAGTGGGGCCAACCTTTTTGGCAGAGGTGCCACAAATTGGCCCTGCACCCTCCGCAAGTGCCACTCTGATTCCCTATCCCTGCCCAATCTGCTGTTCTACTTTCCGTTTCCTGACCTATGCTCCCCACCTGTTCTGCTTTCTGGTCCGTACCCTATCTGCCACTATGCTGCCTGTCCTCTCCCTGATCTGCTGCATGTCACACACAGAGGCTGCCTGTGCACTTTTGACATTTGTGCTGCAGGTTGGTCGACTTGCAGCATGGGGGTGACGAGTTGCATGGGCAGCCTGAGTGTGTGGCTTACAGTGGATCAGGAAGGTAATAGGCACTCCAGAAATGGATAGGGCAGGGAGAAAAAAGCAGAGCATCAGATCAGACAGGGAGCAGAAAGGAAAACAAGAGTCAGGGCAGGATAAAGGCATCAGAATGGCACTAGGGGTGAGTGTGGGGCTAATGTGTGGCACACCTGCCAAAAAGGCTGACTATCACTGACCTAATCTATATGGCAGCTCTCTGTTTGTTTTATTACATAGTTGAACATTTTTTAACTTCTAAAACAGGATTCTGACATTAATGTTAATGATTTCATCCAGTATTTTACACAGGGTTTTACTTTTAAAAATCAGCTTTCTTTTAAGGGCTAGTTTCTTGCTAACCCTTATAATAGATATGTAGTAAAACCTTCCATCCTTATTCAGTTTATACAAGGACTGAGCAGAAATTCAGTCCTGCTCTTGCAAATGCAATAGCTATTACTTCCCTGAAGATGTATAATACCTCAGAGGACACAGAATGGCCTTGCCCTTCATGGGCCAGTAAGCAGATATGGCTAGCCCTGGTTAAATAAGTTGTACCCTTTCAGAAGGTAGCATTTTGTCTGGGAAGCAATTGTTCTATGGTGTGCCATGCTTCATACTACAATATTCATTATACTCTAAATTTTATTAGAAACTTAACAACAAACGACAAACAAATCCTACTTTATATACAAAGCAGGGAAATTTAAAAGGATCATATTTTCATGAAGTTTAGCCAGAACATGCAAGCACTTCTCTTCAGTTAGGACTTTTCCATGCCATATATTACAGGCTTTTCAGGGGCAATGTTGCAAAAAAAAGTCACAAGACTTTTTTTTTTTTTTTAACAACATGAAAAACCTGTTTTCTATCCTGCACTGTACTTGAGTGGCTAGCCCTCAAACTTACCTCAATAATTCTGTTCAGGCAGAGTAACCACCATAAGTTTCAATCAAAAGGTAACATTTTATTTAGTTAAATGGGCCTAAAAATGGGTGTTCAAACATACAAGACTAGGTCATTTTAACTACTGTGGTCACTTCTATTCCTCTTAGGGAGTGTCAACACATGCCTCTTAAGCAGGCTTAGCCTAAAACTGTCATTTTTAAGGCGCATTAAGGGCATGTATCTACACATGCACACCTTTAATGTGCCTTAAAAATGGTGATTTGGGGCTATGTGAGCCTAAATTTGATACCTGTTTTATGCATAAAGCAGACATCAAATTTAGGCACAAATAGCTAAGTCGCATTAGAGTACATGAGGATGCGCTAATGCGCATTAATGCAGTCAGCGTGCGTCAATGGACACACACGCCATGCTAATGCGCATTAGTGCGTCTGCATGTGTGCTAATGCAACGTAGCTATTTGCACCTACATTTAATGTGCCTTAACGTGCATTAGTGTGTCCACAAGTAGATGCGAGCCTAAATCGCCGTCTTAAGCAAAGGTGCATTAAGTTTAGGCATGCATAAATACATATGTAAACACACCCTTAGAATTACATTTTCAAGCTCTGTGGTAAAATGACTGGATTAAGAGTTTTAAAATATGGATATTTTATGTATGGCAATTTTGTTCTATAAGCCAGAACAAATGCATGTAATTTTTAGATTTAAGAGATGAAGTAAACACAGTGAAATAAATGAAGAAAAGGGGAAAAAGGGAGAATCAACATTATATATTTAATACAGTATTAAAGAAATTAGATGATTTATATAGGATGTGTTATCAAATGCATTCCTCCCACCTTTAACATTATTTCTTTACTAATGTGTACTAATTTATTTGACACTGCTAAAACCATCCTCCAATCTACAAAAAAATACTTACGCTCTTCAGGTTTCATTTCAGAGATCTTCTGCAGCCAGTCCTTCCAGGTTTGGCAGTCACAAGGTTCATGCGCTTCACCAAGACATTCCCTGGAATATTAAACCGTAAACACATCAGCTAAACATTTACTGGTTAAACTCTAGCTTGACTGAAACTAGTGAACATGAAAAATAGTTAAGGTCTATTAAAACTTCAATTAAGCTGGAAATTAAATTTTAAAAATTTAAAAATCCACTCAATTAAACTTTCTTAAAATAATTCTTACGTTACTTAGTCAAAAACCTATGTAACCTTCATTGAAGTTAATGGGAATTTAAGTGAATGAGTAAAGAAAAATAATGTTTTAAATTATGACACAGACTTTCTCAAAAGTAACTGGGTATGTTACTTTGTATGGTTTGAGCAGTTACTCATCTAAACAGTGAACTAGTCCAACATATCAATAATCATGAGGTTTTGATTCAAAAGATGCATTTGATTTCAGCGAGGAGGGCCTATACAAGGCTTTGATTATTTGTATTAATATTATACCCAAATGTTCAAGTAATGTTAAGGGCTCATTATATTAGATACTGTACACACACACAGAGTAAAACACTGTTCTTATTTTAAAATCCTTGTAAGTTAGTTTCTTACTTTTAAGTAGTAACTGGTGGGTAGGCCTATTACAGCTGAAATAATTTTATTAATAATTATTTGCCCATGTTCACTGGCAGCAATCTTAACATAATCATTGTTAAATTCCTGATGCTCTCACACACTTCAAATGTTGTATAAATTTGGATTTAATTTTGTTCCAAAGTCCCAAACGAAATTTTGGCTGAAATTATATGGACATAGAAGAAACTGGGTCCATACAGTTTTTCCCAAATTACTGCTGTCAGTTTCGGGATGGCTATCTTCAGAATGTAGCTGCAGATGTACTTCCAGATGGTGCTTGGGCGTAGATGTGTCAATATGGATTCCAGATTTGTCACGACTCTCCTACTTGAACTACAGCAAAACAGCCTAAGACATCTGCCACATCAAACACACCAAACATTTAGAAGAGCATATTTTGCATGGGCACCAGCTATATCAAACAATGGGAAGGGTAAGCTGCTTTTTGTAATATAGAATTTCAAAAGCCAAATCAATGCCCTTCTGATCAGCTTTGCCCACATCATGACACATGCATAAAGAAAATGTAGAGCCAAAACACCCAAACCTTCTTCAGACACCCTGTCCCACCTACCTAAAAGGTACTATCTGGGCACCATTCACTTCTGCAGGGCAAGACTACATTTTCCCTGCTGACTTCAGACCCTTTCACCATAGGGTCTGTTCTCAGACAAAAATGTCATTGCACTCAAAGGCAAATAAAATGACCAGGAAGGGAACTTTGGACTCAAAAGAGAATAACCTCCTTAACTAACTGCTAATTAATAAACCAAAACAAGGAACAAAATAACTAGGAAATGCAGGACTGATTCCTTTGTCTGGAAACCTGTGAACTTTTGGGCAGATTGCTAGCAGTCTTAAATTACGGAATACCCTCAGAACTTGGGACAGCACTAGTTGTAAAAAGCAGAGAATGAGACAGGCATGGTGTACATATCGGAGGGCAAAGAACGTAAAGATGGATGGGAGAGAGGGGTAGAGAAGTCCATGCAACTACAATTGTGTTTCCAGACTTCTTTATGAGGCAAAGTTTTATTGATGACAGACACTGTGAAAGCAGAAGTTAAAGAACACACAGATGGTAAAAGGACAGGTTATACTATAGATGATACCATGTCCAAAGAGCAGGTGGCAATCTATCAGTTAAGATGATTAATTTGAAGGTTCAATAACTGATAAAAAGTAAATACAGCAGTGGTTCATGCTCTGGATAACAAATGTCTTTCCATTTTATAGCAACTTACTCAAGTAAGTTGCAACCTCAAGCAACTGGCAACTTGTCCACGGGTCCATATTTTTCCCCTTTTGTTTTTTCAATTTTAATAGACTGATCTTAAATCAACAGTACTGGAATTCACAAATTAGACATTTTATTTTTAAAAGCCAGAGTTTTTCTAAGTAATATTTTAAGGCACCTCAATTAAAAGTAATATTTCAAACATTTTAAGGCAATTTAAAAAAACCTTCAAAATGTATTTATATTACGACTTCTTAATAATTCACTGTAACATTCAATAATTCATTGTTACTCTCAATAGAGATGTGATATCAAAACATCATCACATATGCCTGGGGAAGAATGTTATCTGAGATAGTCACAAAATTGTATCTCCACAGATACCAAAGGAAAAATATTTCTATGCTTGTAAAATTATTCTTAACAACATAAGGAGCTGAAGTGTGATCCTGGAACCTTTCCCCTCATAAATAAAATTCATGTCATATAAAGAATGTCTGGTCCTTGGTGTAAACCAGAGCAGTCTTAGATTGTTAAAACTAATTTTTACATTTTACACTCAGCTGCACAAGTAATCCTGAGGCTTTGTCCACCTGCCAAGTACAGACAGAGTACAGCATCAGTCTGGAAAAGCTCCCTTAAGGCTGAGAAGCATGATGGTGTGAAGCCAAGTAAACTGGCTTCAGGGCATCCAAGGATCTGGCTTAACCTTACTAAAAAGAAAGAGCACCCCACCCACTTGACTCTTGAAACAGGGTGGGAATCTTTGCTTGAAGTGTGCTCTCATTCTATTCCCATATTCTGACAGTCTGCAGACTAGGAGTACTTTTCAGTTTCTCTGCCATAACAGTCTAAGAAGCACAAAGACATTCTGCAGAAACCCAGGCAAAGAAAGACAAAGCAAGGCTGATTAAGAAGGAGCAAATTCTTCCAACCCAGAGAAACAATAGCTCAAGAGAGAGTTCCCTTAAGCCCCATTCCTCACTAGCAAGGAATTCCCAACAACATTTTTTGAAGACTATTATTCTTTTAAGATAACAATCCAAGCTGTGCAGCTTCCAGACAACCAGCTCGGTTCTTCAGGGTCAAGGTCATTCTAGGTAGATCAGTTCACCAGTTGCAAATGACTGAAGACCCATTCATATGAGGATTTGAGTACCATCATGCACAGAAGTCCAAAAGCTAATGTGCTACAGTTGGCCATGAAAGACTGAACATTGTTAGTGAAATTTATACTTTGACAAATACTTTTGTAAACAGGATCAATTAAAAGTAATGTGAATTCTGGCACGTAATTGAAGAAGTACAGATAAACTACTTAGTAAAAATTTAAGGCTTCTGGAAACAGATTCAAGAAAACTTGACAGGTCTCTGGCTAGATGGAATCTTACCTAATTTAATGTGCAAAAGATTCTCCACAAAATCACTAAAGATACAGCCTTACAGCAAATCATGTAAAAAACACAGTATGTGAATCGTTTAGATTAAATAAAACTGAAGAATTCTAAAAATGGATGACCAGATGGTTCTTTAAAATATATTCTGAACATACAATTTGTCCTAATAGTACTGCTAGCCTTTTAAGTAGGAAGAAATGTTTCTTTATCATGAAAGTGCAATAACTGAAGTCATACAATGCAAACCTAGAAGGAACCTCAAAAAGTCATCCAGTCCATCCCCTGTTCTAAGGCATGATTATCTATATGCCCAACATGTTAGATGTTTGTCTAACCTGCTTTTAAAAATCTCCTGTGAAGTGATTTCCATAACCTTATATCATAGCACCTGGTTCACTGCTTAACTATCTTTTAGGTCTGAAAGTTTTTCCTAACTAAAGCCTTCTTTACTGAAAATTAAGCTAATTACTTTTCTATGTACCCTCAGTGGACACATGGAACAACTGATCATTAACTTGTTTAAAACCACATTTTATGCATCTCACAACTTACCAGAATCACCTCAGATGCATTCTTATTTTTTTTTTTTGACTAAAACATCCCAACCCTTTGTTTTGGATAATCAAACTTAATGTTCATGAAGGTGCCAGACAGAAATATAATTCTTTTCACAATACAAGAGTAGCTCTCTTTTTCAGTATTACTTGAGTGGACTTTGTTACTTCAACAAAGATTGCAATCATCTTACAAATCGTGGATAGGATGTCACCCATAAATTTAAAATCTTTCCATTAAATGGTGATTGTCATGTATTTTTAACCTTGTAATGTCTTATTCCAAGTTACCTAATGAATATAAAGCTAAACATACATAGAGCTCCATGCGGCTGTTCTGTGGCTTGCCAAGTTATCAATATAATATAGCAGGCAATATCTCAAAGCTTGTTGCCCCAAAAGATACAAAGACATATGAGCAGGTCAGATATCAAGCACAAGTGTATATGACAGATTATAGTCATGTATCATGCTCTACACAAGTCAGGCTTCTGCAATGTGGCAGACGGTAAGAAGTTTTAATGACCTCTAGAGCAGCAGTGAGTATGATCATTTTATGTAATTGTACAAGTTTCTAGGACTAACCAGCAGAAAAGATGTCCTTTTCCACAATCCACAGCAGGTGATTTTAGCATAGGGAAGCTAAGTGTATCTGAACCTGTTGTATTTGACCCCTGTCTTGTAAGCCTGACGGCTCTTTCACAGCCTGCTATAGGACACCATTTAATGGCAGGATTATTTTCAACAAATGCCTGAAAAGAAAGAAAAAAGAAGAAAATTACTTAACATTTAAGAACAGATTCTTACCACTGATATGGACTGTAAGCTGTGATCAAAACCTCCTTCTAATGAAGGTAGGGCAGAGGGCATACTGCAGTTTTCTAACTAAAATTTGTATTATTTAAAATTGTCATAACAAGAAATTGACTTCATCATTAGCTTAAAATTGCATTTGTTTGCTATACTAGAATTTAATATTTATGCTAAGACCTGAATGATCCATACTCTATGCAAAATGCTAAATATGTGCAAGTCTCACATATCAGGGGTTGGCAACGTTGTCTATCAGTGGGCTGTAATGATGCAGCTCAGGCTGAAGGTGGCCTGGTACTAGTACTCAGTCACTATTTGTCCATACCACCACTTCTTTCTGCTGTGCACCTATAGTGTTGCATGCGTGAAGTTCTTGGCTATGGTACAGGTGAAGCCCCCCACTGCCAAATAATGGTAAAGCCCCTGTTCTGTGGGCTGGATCCAATGACTCGTTAGAGTCTAGGTTGTGCACCATAAGTTGCCACCCCCTGACATACTATTATTGTTATTTATTCAACAACTATAATTTGAAATTTTGCAACATATAACTACTCCAGATTAACAATAAATACTTATGCTAATTATGAGAAATCCCAATGTAACTGAGATAAGATCTTAAAAACAGAATTAGAATAACTGAGAAATTTACTTCTGAACTTTTACATTAAGTTAATGTGCCTTCTCTTGTAAGTACTACATTAAATAAATTATAGAGAAGAAAACCCCCACAATGACACTATCAGTCAAAATCATCCTAACCTGTTGCCTACTTGAAAGGTGAGTAAGGTAGTGGATTAGATCTCGGCACTTTACTGAATAAGGTTTGGGGACCGCACACTAAAGAGCCTCATTACAGAGAAATTACACATAAACCAGCATAAGTGATCAGAAACTGGATCAAATCCGTAACACAACAGAAGTTCAGTGGACATAAACTGCTTTCAAAATGGCCAAAGCCAGTTTAATATAAAGCTGGATGGACGTAGTAACAGATTTAACTGATTTAGGGTTTATTGAACTTTTATCCCAGATCCCCTCCAGATTCAAGTCAACTCACAGGCTCCCAGCATCCCAGGATGCTTTGCACCTCCCCCACAAACCACTCCCTCACAGGATGGGCAGGCTAGCCTTGACACAAGCTGTCTGCTTCAGCCTAGCAGGAAGGCATGCTCTAGTGCCCCCTCACCTCCCATCTTCTGACCTGGGCAACTGCAGGCATGTGGCTGCATTTCCAGAATCAAAAGTGAATGTCCGTTCACTTGCTTATGGGTTCAATCTATGCAACTTAAATTAATGTGTGAAGACTAAATCAATTCAGCCTTGGGCTTTTTGACTGTCTGTACTTAGCCACATGGTAAAGAAGTGCACCAAGCTGCCTTTCCCACTCCAGGGATAATTTAACAAATTATTTAAAAGGTAACAGGTAAGGGTGCAAGCTTTGTCCTGTTTACGTGCCAAAGGAGAGCTCCAGTGAACCTAGCTGTAAATGGGCATTTGGTTATTCAGGCTGTGGAGTCAAAGATAGCTGGATATGTTTCTAGCTATATCACTCCTTGCTGTGCTCTTGAATAAAGAAACTGGCATATCTTAACTATGCTAGCTCAATAGGTTATAAGACTAAGTATGACATTTTGGCTTTTGAGTCCACTTTACAGATTAATACCATGAAAAAAAGTCCCTTGTACTGTAGCAACAGGGAAAGGTTTGTAAAATCTAAAAGTCATATCAAAAGTTTTAAGCTTCTTTTGCTATTTGGTTAAATAGTAATATTATGAAACTACAGTAGGATGGAACAAAGCTATAGCTGTATGAATAACATCATTCAGGTGCAGCAGAATTTCCCAAAAGCTCAAAATGTTTTTCAGAAACTTACAAAGTTGCTATAAGATTTGAAAAAAAGCCAAGCTTGGCTGATTAAAAACTAGATATCAGTTGTTCTGGACATTAATTTGATCATTAATTAATTTGCATTAAGATAGTTTAATTGGCCAGTATGGAAAAGTAGTGCCTGTTCTTGTGGAAATACATAATTTTTTCCATGTCCTAAGTATTAAGCCAAACCCTATGGCACAGTGCGTAAACTACATATATTTCAGACCTATGGGATTAATTTATTAAGGTCTACTAAACTGCTGTCACATTTCAGTATTCTCACAGAAGTGGTGATGTAAATTCAGATAATGAAATATGTTCACTTCAATCTCATAAAAATAGCACGACAATTTACCTTAATGTCAAACTGTAGGTAACGTTTATCCATCTCCTTGGAAACCACACTTTCTATGATCTCTACAGGCACAAGCTGGAAGCAATCATATGCTGGGCAAAAAATGTTGTGAGCTTCACCCTCCTGAATTTTTAAATTCAAAAACCTGCCAAAATTATGTCAGTAAGTATTTGAAAATAATACATAAATAAGAGTCAAGCAATTACTGCAGATTTACTATAGTTATACTAGTTTTAAAAGATTGTATGTACTTTTCCATTAAACTATTTAAACAAACATATCAATTATCTTTTGGTCTTTACACTCAGTAAGTGCCCCAGAATTGAGGAGTAGCATGCTGAAAAAGAAATGACATAAAAAATTAAAACTGAGAAACTGAAAAAAGCACTTGAATGCATGTGTGTAGTTTCAATCTGTCTGCCATGTGTTAGAGGCCTCTATGCAACTTTTAATAAAACTGAGGATAATTTCTTCATTTATGTCACAAAATGAAACATAGAGCAGCAATCACGATATTCAATAATTATAAGCCTACATAATTTTATCATACATTTAAAATATTCACTGGTGAGACAAATACTAGAATACTCTGTATACTTCTGGTGTTTCCATTTTAAAAAGGATGTTGAAAAATCAGAGGAAGTCGAGAAGACAGCCACAAAAATTATTAAAGGCTAGAGAAAATGCTGTCCAGTGAAAAATATAAAAAAATTTTTAAAAGATTGAAAGGTGACTTGATTATGTTTCTAAGCACCTTCACAGGAAAACACACTGGGTGCGTCTACCCATTCATTTAAGTTTGACTAAATTTACTGCACATTAAGCTAATGCACAGTAAACAATTTTGGCAGGTGTCTACATGTGCAGACTTGGCACAAAATTTAGTGCCATGTGCCCCATTTGCAGGTATCAAATTTAGTCACGATTAGCCATTTTTACTGTGCAGTAAGCATGCATACATGTAGATGTGCACCTGTACTGTGTAGTAAACTAGGCTAATGTGAATTAACATGTCTCGTGTAGACACGCCTATAGAGAACTAAAAGGTTTTTTATTCCAAGAGGGAAAGGTATAATTAATTACTAGAAGCTGAACCCAGAAAATGCAAATTAGAAATTAGGCACAAACTTGTAACCTAAGGGTGACTTACAATGGAACAATCTACCAAGAGAAGTAACAAATCAGAACAGCATGTCCTTCTGGAAGAAATACTTCTCCTACCTCTCCAAATACAAGTTCACCAACAAAGAAACAAGGTGAAATTCTTGTCTGGTGCCATTTGTAGTGTAACATCTAGTCCGCTTCATCAATCCGTCTCCTTACACCACCAAAGTGGGTTTCATTTCTCAGGCACAGTACCACCTGTCAAGCAGTTCCAAGGTAGGACTTGGGCAGATGGCACTGGGGATAAATTTGTGGGATGCCTAACATTTTATAAATTGTACACAAATTTACATTTGAACAACAAGCCTATTTTTCTTGATGCCAAGCAAGAGGCAGATTGAGACCAGTTTAAGGATTCAAACTCATGGTCTATTAACAAGGGGCAAAGCTTGTTTCCCGAAACACAATATGAACACCATTGCTCAATAACTGCCACTCTCAAAGGGGTTCCCATAGAAGAAACAACTGAAATGCAAAATAGCTGTAGGGAGAGGTAGAAAAGCTTTCTCTGGCAGGGGAGTGTGGAAGGATGAATCCAGACTCATTGCACTAACGCTATACTGGCACGGATGAGGCATATACATTTTCTAAACAATAGGAATATCATGAAGACTTCACAGTGCCTTCAATTATACAAAAAGCTCTGCTCCTGGGGCCAAACTTCCACAAGGAATCTTTAGCCCCCAGAAGAATGCAAGATGATTCTGAGAAATCTCCTGAGGGTGAACTTGATCTTACAAAAAGCATGGTGTTGCTTGGTTTAATGGCAGGGGGAGGGACAAGTTTGCCTGAGCTACCCACTAGCTTTTATCATTATGTGTATCCACAAACACTCACACTCACCAGACACTAGCAATCCTAAAAATAAATCCCTGTAATCCCTGTATGTATTTTGTCACCCAAGCCTGAGGCACATCCTTGGGGTAAATTTAATACTAATAATTTTGTAAAAAAAAATGCTTCTTCAAGAAATGGAATGCTACATATTAGCTAAAACCTGAGGAGGCGGCACTACTTTGGGGCACATCCGGGCCACAATTCGAGCATCAAGTATAGAATTATAAGGATAAGAACCTAAACACTTTACTGACTAGTGATTTTAAGGTGAAGCAAGATATCTCAGGAACTTTTTAACTAATACTCCACATCTGCACCAATAATGAATGCCTCTCAAACCCTAATGGGACACATCAATTTGCAAGGCACTAGGAGAATGATGGTAAAATTTTGATCAGGTAAAAAAAAGAAAAAAAAGAAGCCTTTAAAAAGTAAGCTTATATGCAGCTAATGTTCTTCCACGATATCAGCAGTGATGGGTGCACTGCAATTAGACCTTATCTAGACTACAAAGTTGTATTATAATGGTATATTTAAAGGAAGCGGAATGCTCTTAGTGTGGATGCAGTTATAGCAGTCAAAATGCAGTTCATGTTAGTATGAATATTTTCATATACAGTGGCCGTGTTTACATGAGACAATGACTATGCAATCTTTACTGCACAGTCATTTAGTACTTCTTTATAAACAAGTACTAAAGGACTGTGCAGTAACTGGAATTACCATGCAGTTGGGTCAAGGAATGTCTGTTTTATGACGCTGACTGTACAGTAGCTCATGACTACTGCACAATAGCATTGTGTCACACTTCCTGCCATGCAATGCTACTGCGCAGTAGTTACAAGCTACCGCGCAGTCAGTATCTCATGTAGACGTGGTAAGAAACTATTGAGATATGTCACCTTTGTGTCACTATAACAGGGTTCACACCAGGACTTTTAGTACCATAACTTTTTTGATATAAAAAAAATTAGCCCCCAAAATAAATAATAAACTGGTAAACCTTTTAACTGGTAAACCTATGACAACTATGTCCCAACCAGCAAATTACTTAAGAATGTGCTTCTCAACAAAGCAATTAAACCGCTTAATTTTTATTAAGTGCTTTGTTGAGTAGGGATGGAACTAAGTATGTACTTATCTTAAAAACAAATACAATTTTCTATAAAGGAGATTCAATAAATCATATGAGTAGCCCCATAAATTCAATTTGTGTAAGTACTTTACTGAATTAGGGCCAAAGCCCTAACTATACAAGTATGAGCCAGTTAATGACCAGTGGGATAAAAGCACTGAGTTAGCTATGATATCAATCAAAATCAGCCATCTAACACTAACAAATTCATTGGCTGAGAGAGGGAGATAGCCTCTGAAGTCAGGTAGAAGAGGAAGCAGGGGGTACCTTAAAGACTAAAAACATTCAGAAAGGCATAACCTTGTATAGGCTACAGAATACTTTGTCAGATGCTATGAAATGTTGTGCTTCTTTCCTTTTGTAAATGGAAAATCTACTCATTTGCAAATAAATGCTAGAACACATATACTCACGCCTCCCAGCATGATCTGCAAAAGTCATGTCCACAAGGCATATCCACTGGGTCTTCAAATATAGAAATATTACACATACAAATGTCACACTGTAGATTAAGAAAAAAGTACTGATGATTAAGACCATACTAAATCTCTGTATGCAATATGCAGAACTCAAGAGAATTATGCAAAAAAAAACCCCACACTACTTAAAAGTTACACAAGATTGGGGAAAATCTTTATGAACTTATCAAAATAAAGTTTTGCTTTATGTCAGAATCATAGAAATAGAAATATATTCATGTGTCTTCTTCATAAACAGCCTCCAACATTTACTATTTTTAAAAACTGATCAGGAAATCTTTTGGGCATCTCATCAGATCTCTACCACCTGAGTCTGCACTTCGTTCTGCAAAACGTTCACAACTCTTTATTCCCAATGATGACACAACAGGGCCAGATCCTATACCTTTAAAGTCAACAACAGCTTCATTATGTAAATGCAGGATCAGGGCTTGGTGACAGAGCAGTCAGGACTTCATTTAGGAATTCACAGGAGACACTAAGCCTATTGCAGAATTAGGATGATACCAGGATAGAGCTATTTAAATTATTTATTTAAATTATGATTTTAATCAATCCGTTAATAAAAGAACTTTTGACTTCACAAAACCTACTTGAAATTTTGTTTGTATCATCAACACTTATAAATGAGCTAAGTTATACTTTTTTCCCCAGCCCACAACATGCTATTACTGGCAGGATAGCCTACTTGCATCTTAAAAAACAGTTAAGCTACTACCAAAATGCAATACTGAATATTCAGGCCCCCAGCTTGCAAACATTTAAGCATAAAGGAAACTAATTCATGAACTACTGATATGCCTGATGTTTGGCGTGTACGTAGATGGTTGTGGCACTAGAGCCAACAAATGTATTTTTATTGGGAGAAAACTTCATCACGGTTAGCAGTAAAAGTGTTTTCAGACATTCAGTACTGTACATTAACATTTTTACAAACACAAGATAACATTCCCAGAAATGTACGCCTAAGCTAAGGCACCTATACAAGGATTTTACTTAGGAGCACAAAACCCAGAACTTCAAGCTGCAAATTTTAGGGGGCACATAACCAAATTAAAGCCATTTCAACTCACATAACTTGTAGACATTGTGTATTGGAAGGCACTGTTGGTTGCAAATATTCATTATTTAAATTGTAGTTCTTAGCTTATTGATTTCAAGTAGGAGTTCTGCTGTTCTAGAAATAGGGATGTTAATGAGAACCTGGACCTGTCTTTCTCTGCATAGGCAACCTTTATAACTGTGATATTTCTTAATATGGAAAAGTGTCAGTGTAAAAATGAGAAATTCTACTAATAATGAAGTAAAGGAAGTAAAAAACATCCAGCTGAGCAATTTTAAAGTATAAAAAGTGAAATAACTTACAAAAAGTTTCAATTTAAAAAATACTTGGTAATTTTCACTTGGCAATGTTTACTCACTTACCTGGCCAAAAGTAAGTCAAATTGGCAAAACAGCATGATTTCACAAATGTAGTTTTAGAGACATTAATTTGATAATTTTGCAGGTCTTTTATAATAATAGAAACATGATTTAATTTAAATCCAGACATAAAATTATGAGACCACAGATATACAACTGGAACCACCATCTGATGTCATGTCTGAACCTGTATTCTGGGTTAAAGGCTCTAATATTAGGAAAAAGTAGTATAAAATATAGTGTAAAATATACTAAGCATTTCAATACACATGATAATATTCTAGGACAAACATTCCAGTGCATAAAACTACCAAATAAATGACATGATTCTATATATAACTTTTTCAATTACTGTATCATTAAAGAAGTCAAGGTTTTCTGGGCATTGAATGCAAAACTGCACTGTTATACAATGTCCAGAAATATTCCAAAATTATTTACAAAATTATGCATGTTGTAGAAAAAAAACTTGGGTCATTGAACATAAATTTCATTCAAGTTACAGCTACGGATTATTAAAAAGAGAACTGTTTTCCAAGAGTCTTACTGATTTTAATGAAAGGCGAGTTGAAATTTGTGACAGTCTTGTAAACTGTTTCAAGGAAGCCCCACAGATGAAAAATAATTATAATCCTACAGTACACTAGTGGGCTGACATTTCAAACATAGACAAAGAGAATTTTGTTTCCTAATGAAAAGATATAAAAAAGGCAGGGCTCACAGTATTGTGTTCAGGAAAAGGGGTACTATAGAAGTAAACCTCAAAATACAAAGTCTTAAAAAAACTGCTGGGGTATACACTACTGGTATAACATTATCTCTTGAAAGCAGCAGCCCTGCATTACAATGGTGGCAGTGAATCTCAAAGTAGGGCCCTTTATTTTATCTACATGCAACCCATGTAATGACAGATCCTATTTTTAACATGCATACTTTAATGCTGTCTACCTTCATGAAGTCCACGAAATGACATTTTTAAAGAAAATATATTTTATATGCTTTCCATGGTTATTTTGCATAAGCAAATGACAAAATACTTCATCTGACCAGATGTGCATGTTTGTTTAGGAACTGGCTCATTTCCTTTATAATTTTAGATGCATTTACATGGCAGTAAAAATAGACTATAAAAGCATACTGCATAAACCATATCTGATAAGATTATGGAAGATTACATTTCCCACAGTTTACAAAATAACTTTCTGTTAACTCTTAGCACACCTTGCACCTTTAATTATTTGCAAGAGACATATTTGCCACTGAAGGGAGAATCTTTCTCAAGAAGAAAACATACCAGAGTTGTCTCAATATCTCCCGGTGACAGGCTGATTTCATCAGGGGAGGTCAAAGAAGAGCGAGTAGTGCGGGGAGTTCGTGGAGAAGGGAGCGTGTCCCAGGCATTATACCCGCTTGGAGGTGGAGTTGGCATTTGAACACCTGAACGTTGGCAGCAGTTCTCTGGATTAGACATCCATGCTTCAAGTAATTTCTCCCTGTCCCAGTCTTCAACAAATATATAAATAAAAATATTTGGCTACAAGACTTGTTTATTTATAACTGCATCATTGAAAAAACCTCTAAATACATATTTCAATAAAAACTGGAAGTACCTATATCTGTGGGAATACAGGATACTAGAACCTCAACAGACACTAATTTCATGATCTATAATTTGGGGCAGAATTTTATAATTAATTACACTGCTGGGAACTTCTTTTCTATTGATGTCAAAAACCCAAACATGGAAAACATTATTAATATTACTATCATCATCCTCATCTCTGTGAACTCCAGCCAGGAACTAGACCCAATAGTTTGGTAACATACAAGAAAACAGAAGAATGGTCCCTACATCAAAGTGCTTTCACTGTAAGTACCCATCTTTCACATGATAAAATGACTGCTCAGTTTGGATCCATTTTAGGGTTTGTTTTTTTAAACACATTTGGTTCAAACCAAATGTTACAAAGGAAGAGGACAATGTGGAGAATTGCTCATTGTGTATGTATGTATGAAAAAATATTAAGATAGACATTTTTACAACTTGCACTGTCTTCCTGCTGCACCTGATTTTCACATTCCTTGCACTTTCAGGGACTTTAATGGTGATTTTGGGTGCAGACAAATGCAATACCATCATTTAAAAACAACTCTTGTGTATAGCAGTCCCTTGAGCTGCACTGAGGTTACTCATGTAAACTGAGTTATTAATGTGTATAAGGCATTAATGGTCTCTTTATAAGTCATCTACAACATGTTAACGTTTTAGGGCTAAATGAAGATGTTGTGAGAAGTCCTCCTTCAACTGAAATCAATGGCAAAACTCCCATTGACTTAAATGAGCCAGAGTGTCACTAAGGTTGTTATTTCATAGTGGGTGCATATACACAGGTGCTGTGGAGTTGACTAATTAGCTCTGCAGTAAAGCATCTCTGTCTATACATGTGCCAGTAATAAGGCACAGTAAATTAACTCCACCATAGGATAATACTGTAAGGGGCAATACTATAGGATAGTACTGCCAAATCATTAACACTTTCAATTTTGTAATTTTTTAATACTGTGAAATGAGGGAGTTCTTCCAAAATAGCATATGCATCCCATTGACTAGGGTTTGATTTTACATATTGATACCCTTTTCAACCTCTTTTGCAGGTATTTTGACAAACTGTTATAAAAATGTTAAAGTTTGCTGGTCCTAAAGATTTGTTTTTGGATAGTAAGCATTACATTGAGACAATTTTAATTCCACATATAAAAATGATTTGGGTTGACCTGAAACACCTAAAGGTTTTGTCACCTAAACAGTAACAGCTGTTTGCACATTCATGAACACAATCCATAAAAATACAACATTAAAATTTATCTGAATTAAAAAAGAAATAATCTAAATATTACTTTGAACTTTATAAGTATGTACTTCTGCAATTATAAAATTCACAGTTAAATCTTTCTACCTGAAGTGACCAGGCTCTGAGGACCCACACCATTTCTACCCAAGATCAGGCACTGGGGGCTCTGCACTGCCTTTGCCCAGTCCTGCATGTAGGGATAAGGTTCCAAGGCCTTGGACTACCTCTGCCCAGTCCTGTGCACTGGGATCAGGCTGGAATTAAGCTCATGTGCAGGGATTGGGTTATGAGGCCTTATGCCACTTCTGCCCAGTGCCATATGCTGGATTGGACTTCAGGTGCCATGTACAATTCCCGTGTGCAAGGATTGGGTGCTGTGATGCTCTGTACACCCTCAGACCTGTAGGGAGCCCCATGAGCCAGATGACAAGGTACCAGGGAACAGATCCGGCTTGCAGGCCGGGGGTTCAGTACTACTGGTTTAGTACTACTTGATACTCTGTTTTTTTCAATAATTTACACTCAACATTTTTAACTAGCAAAAAAAATTTTTTCCCCATAAACACTCCCCCAATTAACTCGTCAGATGTGTCACTTTGAATCTAAAAATGTGTTAAAGATCAGCCAAGAACATGAACCTCTTCAAACTGAAAAAGAAATATGACTTGACACAGTTTATGATAGTGCTACAATTTCAAGTCTCAAGAGAGAGATGGCTGAATTGGTGTCAATTACTATGTTATCTTACATAAAGCTTCGTTTTATTTTTCAACCTCAACAATACGTGGCTTAAAAGGCCCTACATTTTAGATTTAGAAGAAAAGAACATTAAAAAAAATCTCTAATCAGCTCCAAGAAAAAAAGTTGATATACTATAAAAAATGAATATAAAATATGAAGGGCCCCCCCATAGCAGAACTTTTGTCTAAAAATTACACACTGAAATTGAAAATGAACAATCAGACTGGAATCCGCTTACTACTTTCTTAATATAAATGCAATTATTCTAGATTCAAATTTGCATTGCTTGCCAAACCCACACAGTATATTAAAGATTTCATTTATTTCATATTGTTTGCTTAAGGTCACGATACCTACAAATCATGAGACTGCAAGAACAGACATTTCGTACTCCTGTTACCAGAATAAAGGATGCCATTTTACAAATTATCTGGCATATATAATCTTTTCAAGGGAATTTGATGACCTTGAGATAATGCTAACTGCTGCAAGAAATCTTCAACTCTGACAGCTGTAATGCCTTTTAAATCAGGAGTCAGTGGCAAAGACGTGTGGCTTAGTGAAGGGGTAGGTAACTTTTTTCAGCTGCAGGCCATAATGACCCACTCCAGGTCAGAGGCAGATGGGCACATGGGTTTTAGGACCCACCTGCAACCAGCACTTGTCCCCTTGGTATCGTGGATTGAGCACCTAGAGTCAAAGCCCCCTGCCACCAAATGCTGTCAAAGCACTACGTCTGCAGGCTGGATCCAATGGTTCTGTGGGCTGTATTCAGCCCACAGGGCCATACGGTGCCAACCTCTTGCTCACTGGATTCCACTCTTCTCTTTAGTAAACCATAAGCTGCAGCAAAATGTAAGGTGATAGGTGCAGTTCAGCTAATGTTTTTCATCCTGAAATCAATTACTTTTAGAATCATGAGATGCATTACAAGTGAGAGTAGCTTGACTTTGTTTTTTGTTGAATGAAAGGCACTCTGAAAAAGATAGTACATAAATTGTTAGGGTCAAAAAGTCAATGAATCTTTTCTTATTTGCTACAATATATGAAGCACTATTTTCTGAAAATGCCTGAGCTCTGTTTTGAAAAATGAACAAAAACACAACCCCAGCTCTCATGTGGGAACTTAGGGCTAACAAATTAACGTTCTTGTGCAATAAAGGAAAACAGTTTGTCATATGATCAGATTTCAACTTAAAGTTAATAATTAAAAACAGTGAGTAAAATAAAGTATATTAAAATTTGTAAGAAATACCTAGTGTGTGAAATGCCTATTTCACATAATCTTATTTTAAATACATATGTTTCTCCTGTAAGGTTAACCACAAAACATTAAATTTGGCAGTACTACAATAATTTGAGTTGCTTCCAATTCATCTCTTAATTTTTGTAATCATATTTAAAGCTGAATGGATTCATCAGTTATTCATTTAATTCTGTTACACAATCATATCAATTTTTCATTTTCTTATTTTATTTAAAACACATTTTTCAGCTTTAGTTTTGCTTGGATGAATACTTTCTAGTTTATAATTAACATAGCTAAAGGCAAAACAGCCTACTTTTTCAAATTATATCTATGCCTCTCCCTACGTAGCAGTCAGTTACATTACGTTACAGCTACATCACTAAGGCAACGTCAAGAGAATGACCTTTGCAACTTAGACTGATTCCTTCTCAAATCTCAAGTATGGCTCACTAGATGCTGGCAGACATTTCTGTACAGTTTATTTCAACCTCACTGCTTCAGAATTCAGTGTGATATCATGTACTGTAAAACATAGCACTGCCATAATTTTGTCCTTCAGGGTGTCTGGACAGGTTACGGAATTTGCCTAGCTCTTTGGCTAGTTATAATAGAGTATTTTTAAAGATCCAATATAGTATTCCCCTTACAAAGTAATACTATACAGGACACAAAGCAAATCATTGAATTAAAAAAATGCGCACATGTTATTTATATACATCATATATATCATACATATCTATCACAAATATCAAACATATAAATATATAATGCATGTACTTATATGTATACATACATGCACACATATTTACATATACACACAGATACACACACACACACACACACAAAAGTCTTGCCATATTCATAAGCTGGACTTGATTAGGTTGTAATTTAAATACATTGACACAAGTATCTGGTACACTTCTGAATTAAAAGGACACAGCTAGAAATCTAGTCAAAATTAAAATAGTTAAAAATAGCTACAGGTTCTACACCTACTCATGAGACAGTCTGCCAAATGTTGTGGTTTTAAAATCACATTTCTTTATTACACTTTCTCTTACTCTTGCTGTTATGCAAAAAACCCCACAAAAACAACAGTGTTAAAAATAACTATGGCCCAGCAACACACACAAAAGCTTGTTTTACTTTAAGCATATGAGTAATTTAGCTATAAAGGGGCCTTTCAAGTGATTAAATGTTTTGCTGAATCAGAGCCTGAAGTTTCACTGTAGCAGTATGATCTTTAGATGCAAACCCTCCTATCTGTGTGAAAGACAACTAGTGTCATTAGTGGCTGGGCTTTCATCAAAAGTTAAACCATAAGAGCACATAGTGGTCTTAGCAAATTTTAATTAAGGACCACACACACACACACACACACACACACACCCTTATATATAATCCTTGGGCTGGCTCTACTCATTATTCAGATATTTTATTTTATTCAGATAATATATACATTTGAATAATGAGTAGAGCCAGCCTTAAAAAAAACCAAAAGAAATTAAAGCTGTTACAGGAGTTAGGTGTTGTATGCCTTACTTTTCCATTTTGAATTGTTTTTACACAAAACAACAATTTTTACCTGTTAAATTCGTATTTTTCCCCAGTACATTTTCCTCCAAAGCAGATGTTAAACATACAGCCTGCAGGCTCAATCTGTCCCATGAAGGCAGATTTTCACAGGCTGGACCGCCCAACCTTACAGGCCAGATTCAGCCTAAGGGGCTTGTTCCTGTAGCTCCCAAAGCTCCTGCTCCAGCCACATTAATCCCCACATTGCCAGAGCTGCTGTTGCAGTGTAGCTGTGAACACGGAGTCACTGCTGCTGACCTCCCCATAACCTAGCTACTACCAAAATCAGGTTTTTGTCACCCCAGCAAGTAATATCAGCAGCAGGGGAAAAGAGAGGGGAAGGGGAACTGAGCAGCAGAGACTTTAACTTCTGTGTTCCTGAGGATGCTGAAACAGTGATGCTAGCATCTGTAGGGATTAATACTGGTTAGCACTATGGACGAAAGGGACTTGGGGGTCATGATTGACCACAAGATGAACATAAGCCTTCAATGTAATGCTGCTGCTAGTAAAGCAAGCAAAATGCTGGCTTGCATCCATAGATACTTCTCAACCAAATCCCAGGACGTCATTCTTCCATTGTACTCAGCTTTGGTGAGGCCGCAGCTGGAGTACTGCATCCAATTTTGGGCTCCACAATGTGCAGAAGGTTGAGAGAGTCCAGAGGAGAGCCACGCACATGATCAAAGGTCAGGAAAACAGACTTCATGATGAGAGGCTGAGAGCCATGAGACTCTTTAGCTTGGAAAAGCGCAGGCTCAGGGATGATCTGATGGCCACCTATAAGTTTATCGGGGCGCTCACCAGGATCTGGGGGAATGTCTGTTCACAAGAGCACCCCAAGAGATGACAAGGTTGAACAGTCACAAACTCCTCCATGACCGTTTCAGGCTGGACATAAGGAAGAACTTCTTTACTGTCCAAGCCCCCAAGGTTTGGAATAGACTGCCACCGGAGGGGGTTCAAGCACCTACTTTGAACGCCTTCAAGAGAAATGTGGATGTTTATCTTGCTGGGATCCTATGACCCCTGCTGACTTCCTGCCCCTGGGGCAGTTGGCTGGACTCAATGATCTTCTGAGGTCCCTTCCAGCCCTGATATCTATGAATCTATGAATACTGCTGCCAATACCCACACTCAGGATTTAGGCAGCAGGAAGTCCTGGGGTCTGCATTCAGTCTGCATGGCCAAACAAGTTGGACATTCATGCTCTAAAGCATCTGCACCTGGCTACTGCTGGTAACTGGCAACTCACACCAGACAGAACACCGATTGGTAGGGTCACTGTTTCTCTTATGTGGGTATACAAAGGAGAAAAGGAAACTGACTGGTTGTCCACAAGTCCCTGTCCCACTACACCAAATCATAAATGGTAGCTTTGGAGACAAGGAGAACTTTTTTGGAAAGTAACTTTTAATTACCCAGATTCATATAAAATTATTAGAACAAGTTGCTAGTTTTACTGTAAGAGATAATAGTGCCAGCTTTTATCCATACACGCCAGTTTTTAGTAGCAGATATTGGTTTCACAAAATAAACAGGAATGACCTTCTAGAGTAGTTACAAAGAATGAGGCTGCTGTTACGGGACTGGGCTGGAACAGCAGTGCTGGCTGTGTGCCACTGCTACAGGGCTTGGCTGGAGCTATGTTCCATGCCCTGGGCTGCAGCAGGGACGGAGCCTGCTGGTGCCAAGCAAAAGTAAAGGGGAGCGAGGTTGAGAGATAGGTGTGTGGGGGGAGATATTGTGGGAGGGGATGGGAAAAACAGGGTTTGGGGACCTGAGGCTGCGGGTGGCAGAAGTGGTATGGAGAAGGGATAACAGGGTAAGGGGGAAATCAGGGCAACCTGAGGCTGTGCGGTGACAGGCATAATATGGGGAGCAAGGTGGTTGAAGATGGCAGGTAGCAGTGGGTAAGCTGCCCGCCTGCCTCTCTGTCTGCCCCACCACCTCCACAATGCCTGCCCCCTATTAGCTGCCCCCACTACCTGCCCCAGTATTGCCCCTCCCATCACCTCTTCTTCCAACACCTGCAGTAGTGGAGGAGCACAAATTTAGGATGATCCTCCAATAATTAGGTTCCATACATGGAAAATTATAACAAACTTACATATTTTCTGTGTGCAGAAATTAATTACTGGGGGGTCAACTTACATTCAGAGTTGTTTTATATTCAAATAAATATGGTAATATTTCTTGAGGGTTGTGTTAATAATTCATTTTTCTGTCTTTTTATTATGCCTAAAAAAAGGAGAAAACACCCTCATGCATACCACTTTTATTAAATTAATTTAAAAAACTGGATGAATGTTTCAAAAGTTTTGATTACCATGTGCCCGAAGTAGAGCTTCTGCAGTAAACAGTGGGGCTTGAAGCATGTCAGCAGATTCTACAATCAGCATATCCTTTAGCCTTCGCAAATCCTGAAGTCTTAGTCCCTCATATGGCTTTGAAAAGAAGGAGGAAGAAGAGTTAGTTTACAGCACAAGCAGTTTTTCAGGTAACCACTATTTGGAATTAAAGAGGTAACAATAATATGAGCACTTTAGCTACCCAACAACGACCTCAACCCTCAGGTAAAGGGAATGCCTTTGTGAGTGGATAAGATGGGGTAAAACACTTTCGTCTGATTCTATGCTGTGCAGATAGACAACTATTCCAAAGTCTATGAGCATACTGTAATTTACATCAAATTTCACAGGTTTAAAAAAAACAACAACCCCCCACCAAAAAAACAACCCAAAAAAACAACCCCCACCCCTCCCCAAAGCCAGAAGAAGATATTTCAAGAGCTTGCTTGTTAGGTTTGGAGGCTCTGTATTAAATTATTAACTGACCTATTAGCAGTGACCCCCTTAAAATATCTCCAAAATTAGCCATTGCTTACATTACAAAGTTCTGCCAGCAGCATAACACAGGTTAGGAGAGTGAAAAGTATGCATCTCCGCTGGCAAATCCCTTATGTGATGTAACTCTTCAGGCAGATGGTCACTTTTGGCAGAGCTCTGTCCACATGAAGAGGCCTGGCTACTTGTGGCATTGCTGCTGTGTATGCAGCAACAGCAGTCCCTGTACTGCACATGTAGCCTTACCAAACTTGCCTGGAACACATGATATGGCTGAAGAAAAGGAAGTTAATTTTTCCAAAAAGAATGATTCAACTCAATAATTAACCATTAGAATTCTGAGACAAAGAATTCAAAATGCCTGCATGTCCAGATCAGCCACAGAGAGACCTTGTGCTCTGACCAGACCCAACTGCATGCCAAGTGAGATCTAGCACATGGAGTCATGTTATCCAGCTCATGGGGTTCCCCGAGGTTCCAGAAATTAGGCAGCAGGGGAATGGCAACTAATACTGCACTCCAGGCCAGATGACGTGGCTCTGCAGGCTGGATGTGGCCCGTGGACCGGAGGATAAGCACCACGGCTTTCAGCCAAAGTGGCTCCAGACATTACCACTGAGAAGAATCAGCGGTTGCCCAGTGGTCTCAAAGTAGCATTTCCTATTATAGTGTTAATGGGGTCAGGTTACAAGACACAGTTTATATGACCTAGACATTGGAAGTATGTCCTTAAACTCTGCAATCTCACTTCTAAAAACAAGAAAGGAAACATATGGTGATGGTATAAATACATTTTCCATTGATGCAGATGGAGAACCTGAATGAGGTAGTAAAGGGAAAACAAGAGGAATGTTATGTAATGTGCCTTGGTTGTTTTAAGTACAGAAGACTGTTTAAAAGACACATGCCACTGGAGACTAGGGGGTATGAAATGAATTCAGGCATGAGTAGGAACTGGCTGGCTGCAAATGGTAGCATAATCTTATTACACAGAGCAGGAAGGACACAGAGCTCTGATTCACTGTTCAGATGAGTCATCATTATTTATTACTTGTGTTATTCTTTCACTCGAAGCCTTAGCTAAATATCAGAACCCTACTGTGCTAGACACTATACAAAGGAGATTGCAATCTAAATTAAGTCTACACAGTCTTATACTCTCATGCTGACAACAGAAGGAATGGGGAAGGTGATATGCTAAGTTTTTCAATAGTTTTTATTTACATTTATACCAAGTTCAGTAAAAAAGTGCTCACCCCTCTCTGCATATCCTCAACAAATTCTCAAAAATACATATATTAAGATAAATAATAGACTTCAGAAATAATCAACAAAAAAGTCTGCCCAATCAGTAACATAAATACCTATGGATAATACAGCCTGCCCTGCTTTTTGTATCTGGACAGTTTCCCAGACTAGTTTGAAAAAGGGCACTGGGACTACAGTCAGATTTATGCTTCTGGTCGTTTCTGCGAAGGGTCAGAGGCAGCTATCCTTGAAGCCTCTGTAACCAGCTACTGTGAATGATGTCCTTGGCCTTTATCTAGGAAGCTCAAGTTTGAGGAAGGTTCCTATTACTTTTCCGTTGATAGATACCCATATTATAGCTAAGGACAATTGTATCCTTATTGGTCTCTGCTAAAGTAAAAATGGGTCACTTACTTTATAGCATACTTGAATTTGACTGACCTACTTACAAAACAGTTAATTTATAAAATCCATTTCAGATAGAAAGAGATACAAACAGCTGGGTGCTCAAGTGATTATGTTTGATTGGATATGCTTTAAAAAAATCCTGAAGCGATGACTAAAACTTCTGGACTTGATTTGAATGGTACTTTAAAAAATAATTAAAAATATACATTGCTTCATGAGCACAATAGTCATCACTTAGAAAAAAAAGAATTCATAAGAAGTATATTTTTTCTTATAGAACTGCAACAAAAACGTACGCACAAGAGATAACAGTCCAACTTAAACTGAAGATTTGCACCAAATTATTATTATTAATTGGTTGGTTTTATGTTAAACACTGGCATTATTTCCCTTGAGTAATAAACTATTATATTATTTCCATTGGAACATTTCCCTCAAGACAGCAGGGATTTTGAGATTCTTGGGTTTTAAGAATTTTAATTTTATCCTTTTACACAGCGTGGAAAATATCCATATGAATGTGTTTTAAGAGAGAGATATAATTTATTCACAAAATACTACACTATTCCCAAGAAAAAGTTACCAAAGAATAATATTAAGGTGGCAGAATTAAGCAGTCAGAAATCTGGAAATGTCAGAATGAAAGATGTATACAATGAGAAACCCTTCAATCAGATCACTACCGCAAGATGGTACAGTCTTTAACTGTAAAAAGATGTGCAGTATCCAAGGTAATAGTATACATATTTTTCTGCCATTTTAGATCCATGTAGAGTTTGAGAGTCAAAGCAAATGATGTTCATGACAAATTCCCATTGAGCGTAAGGGGCTTTGGGAGGGAAAAAGTCCTAGAACTCTCCTAGCTTCAAGAGAAAGATCAACATTTGTAGTGAAAAGCTTTCTGTTTAACACCTTCTAACTATACGATGGTTTTAGTCACTACTTCAGTCCATGCAGACAGTTTTTCACTACAAACTTCAATTCTCATCATATTTACTATAGCTTCTGACTTCTACATACACCCCACACATCAAATTTATTACTAACTTTTTGAGACTATCAAATGGTTACACGATTATTAAAATACTATTATTCGCTGATTACAACCATGTTGAAATGTTTAATTGCATGTCAGCACTTTAGTACAAGATAAAAGTATTTTATATTTTTTCTGTTTTAATGTACTGTTAATGATAGAATACAACATAACTTTGTTGTATGGTTAAGAATATATTTTATATAGTTATTCTCTTCCTTGTACATTGAAACTGTATATTTTCAAAAAATGATTTGATAGTGCATGCGTGTACTACTACTACTTAATAAGCCATTATCTATGACAGGGACTAGCATGGCTATTTTGAGAGGGCAACATCATCTTTCTCATTTTCTTAAATGTGAACAGTGAAGATACAATACTTATAATGCTTGCTGTTCAGCATTCATTGGGAATTGTAAGGACTCAGTCAAATGTAAAACATTAATATCTGTATTGACTGGCAAATTTCTACAATATGTAGTAATGTGTGTGTAAAATGACTGAAAAAATTATAACTTTGTTAGTGTGATTTAGATTTCTCTCTATGCCCAGTATAGACCTAAAACTGTTCTGAGTGATCTCCTTGGAATTACTGCTCATTCCAAAGTGTTTCTATAATATACTCTATACAGTGCAGGATAGGGCTGAAATAAAGGTGCCCTTTACCTTGCAGGGCTACAAGACAAAGATAAACCAGCTTCTATTTTAGTAATAAGCAATGAACCAGAAAACTGTGAAGGTGAAACTACTAGGATCAATAAAAAAGTCATTAAAAAAAAATCAATAGAAATTTGTATTATTTGGGTTACTGCTGGCCTAACTTCAATATGTTTTAAGAAATAAACATTATTTTATTTTCCTATACATTATATTTATAGGGTATGTTGCCTCACTTTTTATTGTAGGTTAAATACAAAACTGAGGCAAATAATTTTTTTGGGAATTTTCCCCTAACCTGTTTTCTGCTAAACTATTTAAATTAAGCTACATTAGACATATTTGCAACCATCCACAATGATAAAGTAATTTTTAAGGGTTTGATCATTAAGTTTTATATGTCAGAGGCACACCTGCACTGCCTCAAGAGCTGTGCCAGAGAGCACTGGAGCAAGGCACAATGTGACTGGAGAGAGTGGGAGCAAGTGAGCTTAATGTTATGTACCCGGTAACTGCATTAAGGTAGCTACATTATTTCTATTTAGTTGCATGCGGTGGCCACAGTATGCATCACTACAGCACTCCCTGGCACAGTGTGGAAACAGCACATGCATGACCTCAGTATTTTTTTTTTTTTTTTTTACAGAAACATTCTGGTCATACTGGCATACATTACAATTAAGACATGATTACCCTGTTAATCGCACTATAAATAATAACCCTTGCAGACATTTAAGGAATTAATGAGCAATAAAATGGGAAACCAGTCACAAAAATATTCCACAAAATGTGTGTGATATTTGTGGCTGGTTTCCATCATGATTTAAATTGAACACATGGTGGGTAGTAACAAATGAGCCAATTCTAGACTCCTGTGCAGTGCTGGGGCTGGGACAGGCAATCAGCAGATTGTTGGCCCCAGCCCTGAGGCCACACCAGAATCAGTTACAGGCACAGGTGCAGTGCCAGGGTTAAGAACAAAAACCAGCTGATTGTCAGTCCTAGCCCCTGGACTGTGCCAGAGCTGGTTCAAGACTCCCACGCAGCTCCGGGGCTGAGTCCAACAATTAACTGATTGCCAGTCCCAGCCCCAGAATCACACCAGATCTGGTTGAAGACTCCAGTGTGGTGCTGGGATGGGACTGCTAATCAGCTTATTGTCAGTTTCATTCCTGGGACTGCTCTGGTTAACGCCGGGGTAGTTTTCAACTTGCTGGTGCACAGAATGTCTGGGATCATGATGCCAGGCTCCCCATGCACAAGCAAATAGTAATGGGAAATCACATGTCCTGCCATTCACATTTGTCATGGCACAAGGTGCGACTGTTAGAATCAGGGATGTGATCCCATTACTCCATTAAAAGAACATTTGCCAGAGGCCAAAATATTTTATGTTACTTTTCTTCTATATTGTGTTATGCAGAAACATATTTTAAAAACACACACACAAAAACCATTAAATATTTGGCTTATGTTTGCAATGGTTTTTAACAGCTAATTCATATTTGATTATTTATGCCCAAATCATATTAAAAAAGGAAAACTTAAAACCAGAAACATTTCTTGAAAAGGAAGTGTTTCAAGTGTTACCAATAGCAAATAAGATTTCAAAGGGGCTGATCTAGAGTTTGTGAGGATTGAGAGAAATGGATTTTATTCAGAAATGCTAATGAAAGAATAAGCAAAGCTGGTAGAAAATGGAAAACTCTTATATCACTTAAGCCAGGGGTGTCAAACATGCAACCTGAGTCACGTGGTTCACAGGGCTCTTAGGAGTGGGAATTCATGGGTGTGGCTTGCCACTGAAATCTAGGGTATGGAGCCACATCGGAGACACATGTCAGTGACACAGGACAAGCAGCAACTATGTTAACCACCACAGTTCCCTGACAGCACTCATCCTGCTGCCTCTGCCGCTTACCCTGCAGCCATATCTGGATCCAGTCCGTGAGGAGCCTTGTGGTTCAGATCAATCCCAAGGGGCTAGGTAAGTTTGACAACATGAACATCAGCTGAGTTGTATCTATAAAAGTGTTGGTTTGTTTTCTGTTTTGTCAGTTAAAGGCTCATGTTCCAGGAGGGCATGAAAAACAGAAGGTGATGCTGAACATCCTAACTCCACTTTTACCAAGTTTTGTGCCTATTCACTTCCCACTTTTTTTTTTTTATATATATATATATATATATATATATATATATATAAAGAAAGTGGGAGGAGTTGAGTATAACTCAGGGACAGTTGTGGGAGAAAGGGGATTGCTGTACATGTAGGTTTTCTGATCCTCAAGCTGTTACCTGGAGGTACCACAACTGGTAGGACTGATAGGGTAAGAGGATCCACTACTCATCTGGTGATATTGCACATAATCTTAGGTTCAGTCTGTAAAGGCCCACATACAAAAAACTATTCACAAGAGTCAAATCACAGAGCGGGTATGAACACATGTTCATTTGGATCACAACTCTTTTATAGGTTAAGTTACCATAGTTTAAACTTTTATCTGCCATGGGGTAAGAGTATGCACACAGGCAATTACCATGGATTAGCTAATGTAGATTACATCCATAACCCTTTTTAACTCTGGAAACTCATTTGTCTGCCCATACCTACATATCCGCACCCATACCTACTCTATAATTACACAAACCTCTAACTTACTGAGCAGAGCTAGGAGTTGGTAATGGAAATGGTTTTTCCATTTCAGGAAAACAGAAGGGATTTAAAACAAAAATCCTGAATCTAAACAGAAAGGCAATTCTTTGATTTTTTTTTTATTTTATTTTATTTTTTTTAGAGACCAACAAACATGGCTTCAGTCCATCAAACACTGCATTCAGGTAAGTTTGACATACTATAATTCTGACCACATTCAGTATTTCAAACTGGGAAACCAAAATTTTTACAATCAGAAAATCTCAAAAAGAAATGTTTTAATTTTTCTGAACTGCTTTTTACATATTTTTTTTAATGTTCCCTGAAAAATAGCTTGGCTTCACAGTTTTTCTGTGGGACATCTCACTGAAAAATTCCTAAGCAGTGCTTACAATCATGTCTCCCTGGCCCAAGTGCTGTGCATGCTACAACAGGCAAAGAAGGCCTGTTTATTCTTAAGGTCCTCCTGTCTCTGAGAAAAGTGATTATGGCATTCAATAAGCATGTCCCTTCTTAACTTCCTATCATCATTTCAGCAGAGTGCCTACGACACAAACCCAGAATTCCCATTTTCATTAGCCCCTCCAGTTTCTGTGCTGCATTCTTGATCCTGGAATACTTAGAAAAGCAAATCGTTTGAAGGAAGGATTTTATTTTGGGAATGTTTTGGCTAAATAACCCTAAATATACCCTGGTCTCTAATGGGGCATAACTATTTTCAAGACAATCTGTTCATGTCAATACATTTTATAACATTCTGAAGAGTAATAACTAGGGAAATATTTCAGCCCAAATGATCCCTTTTCCCCAAATGCCTTTACCCTGGTCTTACTCCTAACAAAGCATTTTCTAGGCTAAGTGGACTCTGCATGTACATAAGCATTTTGATCATGAAAAAATTAGCCTTAGTGAGGCCGCATCCATTTCTGGGCTCTACAATTCAGAAAGGATGTAGAGAATCCTGAAAGAGTCCAGGGGAGAGCCGTGCACATGATCAGAGGCAAGAGAGCAGGCCTTATGAAGACAGGCTGAGAGCCATGCACCCCCAGCCTGGAGAAGCATAGGCTCAGGGGTGACTTGGTGGCAGCCTATAAATCCATAAGGGGTATGCATCACGAACTGGGAGAATGTCTGTGGCACCCCAAGGGAAGACAAGGTCCAACAGTCACAAACTCCTGGAAGACCGTTTTAGACTGGACATAAGGGAAAACTTCTTAACTGTCCGAGTCCCCAGGGCCTGGAATAGACTCCCCCGCAGAGATGGTGCAAGCTCCTACTCTGGACACTTTCAAGAAATATCTGGATGTTTATCTTGCTGGGATCCTTTGACCCTAGCTGACTTCCTGCCCCTTGGGCAGGGGCTGGACCCAATGATCTTGCAAGGTCCCTTCAGCCCTAATGTCTATGAAATCTATTTCTAAAGCAGTCTGCCTAAATACACACATTTTTTAAACATACCAAAAAAAAAGCGTGTCATTTGGGGGCACTGGTCATTTTGAGACGGAATTATCTAACATTTACTCCCAAGATTGGATTATACTTGGGTCTCAAATGATATAGCAAATTCCAAGTTGATCCGACTCAAACACTGAAATTTAGAGCACTTAGAAAAAAGAGCACTTAGAAAAAAGGCCTTAACACAGTTAAGGTGTTCCTACCTTGCAGCTCTGCCTTCATTTAATTTTTTACTCTCTGCAGTGAGATAAGGAATCTTATTAAAATAAGATAAATTGAGAAGCAGAGGACTCTGTATAAATCTCTTGACCAAGTGACTCCAAGTTTGCACCACTTTCTCTTACCTAACATTTAGACTTTCTGATGCTACTTGTACAGTTTAGAGCACTTTGGACTTCTCTTCATGGGGTCACTCATGAAAGTTAAGAATAACCAACTAAATGTGTGAAATTAATGCATACAAATGCAAGCACATTAAATCCCATATACCTAATTTTTGGTGTCAAATCAGGAATAACTGGTCTGAAAATTGGATTAAGCTAAAATGGAATAAGGCACTCTTTTTCTGAAATAAGACTGTCCACATATGGAATTATTTTGAGAAATAGCCATCATATTTTTTTTACTCTTACCTTAATCCATACTATCTTTCAACTGTCGTAAAATCTTAAGAGAAAGATTAAGCTCAATTAGGCTGAAGCAACTTTTTTGAATGAGAGCACGCACACATTTAAGGGCACTTTTAAAAGTGGACTTGAAATAACTTAAACACTTTGGCTTTATGCCATCAGTTAAAACATAATGCCATGTAGACAAATCCTTAGGGATCAGACGCACAATATACCCCAGTGTGAACAAGGAGTGGACACGCACCTGAAAATGCCTGAAATCTAAGACAACTGAAAAGAGCAATCTCTGTTGCTATCCTGTTTCAGTACACAATTTGGTTCGCAAAACTTGAAATAAATGTTACTACCTTTTGAAATACTGCATAGTTTAGCTACTTCTTGGTAATATTCACTAATTGAGAGAGCGGGAGTTCCACTCCAGATCGTCTGATTTCCCCTATCCTTGGTCAGAATGCTATCATAGGACATTTAAAATTTTGAAAGTTGATCTTTTAGGGAGGCTATATCCCCCAATGTCCTGGCCAAAATAATCCAAAATTGGCATCACTAAATCTATTCCTGGCTTTGATGATGCATAGTTTCTTTGAAAACAATCGGGTTTATCTGTGTATGTAGAGCACTTGGAAATATTTTGAATAAAAGGTTCTTTCCAGCTTTAACAACAGAATTGCTACTACTCTTTCACAGTATAGGCACACGAGTAGTTCCATTGAAGTCAATAAATCTAGAGATGTGTCCAAAATTAAGCAAATATGTGTTTTCTTAATTCAGGGCCCCTGTCATGAAGTACCTGCCACAATGAGCGATTTATAAAACCAAAAAGTATTTTTGTAATTCAAAAATTTTGCTTCACCTCTCTTTTGTCTAAAGCAGCATATTCAGCTTCAATGCTTTCAGCTTCAGGATCTCGTGAGAATACCATTCGAGATTCAAGGTTCAGGGCCAACTCTTTGTGGTGCTGCTTCTCTGCACAGTCACAGGGAGTATCTTTATTTTCATTTTCCGCAAACAAATCTCCACCATGCTTTACTAGAAGCTGAAAGTAAAAAAGCAAAGTCAAGAAGTATCAATTACTGATTCTAAATATGTTTAATAAACAGGAATCAAATATGTACTAATACGTAAAAGGTACAAAGAGCAGCTTGCAAAATTGCAAAGGGATTACAGAAATTTTTTTGTAAATGTTTAAATAAAATATTCCAATTCATCTTGTTTAACAGCTGGATACCATGTTTGTCCTAGTTAGCCAGCTTTCTTGGAATTTATTTTTAAATTAGCAAGAAATCATGCTATTACCATTTGTAAATAATCCCAACACAGTTGCAAATTTACAAAATTAGCTTTTCAACAAATGTCCAAGTAACAAATCAAATTCAGATAAAAAATTGATCAACATCAAAATGATAAAATATTTTGTAAACATTAAAACCTGAAGAACTCTGATATTTGTCTTGAGAATTCCAAGAATGCTAAGAACGATTCACTTTTACCCTCTCCTGCTCCACCCTAGTTTTAGCTCTCCCATCTGTCTATGCTCCTCATTGCCATTCTTAAATAAAAACTGTCCTTTTTCCCCATATCCTTCCCTCCAAAAGCATCAGAAGATCCCACCAGCTCTCCAAAGCAGCAAGTCTTATACTTCCCAACTAGATTACCTCCCCATTACAGTAATATAGAACAGCATAGGTCAGTGACCTTGGTAGTAGTAATAGCATTTAATGAACAGTGTATACCCACAAGAGGATCATTACTAACATATAGGCTAAGGATATGGACAGACATTCATGTGACACACTCCAAATCTTGCTCCAATCTGGAGTGTTTAGCACCTCCCTCAAAGATCAGTACTAGGCAGTTATCTCCCAATGTATTACATACAAATCTGCACTGTACAACAATATTAAAAAATTAGATGGCTAGGAAAAATAGCCTATTGTGGAAGGCAGATTGATACAGTTGAGAGTGAAGACCAAGGCCAGATCCCATCAGGTTAAACAGAACCAAGGAGTCAAAAAGAGAGCGTATGTAAGAGCACATAGTGCCTTTCTTCCCATAGTTTGAAGTATTTACTGCATTTACCAAAGCTAAAAAAATATGGGAAAGGGCTAGCAGAGCTAACAGGCCAATTCAGCATGAATCTAAAATATAATCAGAGACTAAACATAATTGTTAAAACAACAAGCAGTGTCCTGTAATACTTGTTTAAAATCCATTCCATAGGAGACCTTCCAATTGAGTAGGATTCACAATTAAGAGGTCTTTGATTATGTGGATGATACCATTCAGTATTTTCACAAATATTACATTTGTTCTCACTGCTAAAAGATAAGTTAATTTTAAGTATGCTCCTTACAGTCTGCAGAGCATTCGCTTCTATCAGTGGTTGAAGGCTACGCAGTACAGGAGTAGCAAAATTAGGTGTGGGCAAGGAAGGCACCAGTCCCAGGTGCCAATTTAAAAGGAGCATCAGAATGGTAGCCCCTGTAGAGCCACTGCCTCAGAAACAGCAGCTTGCTCTGGGCACCAGTGGCCTACATGATGGCAGCCTATGCTGAGGCAGCACCCCATGTGTAAGACCCTATACCAGTAACCCCAGCTCTGTGAAATTCAGTACTCCCCCCCATCACATATGCCAAAATTGCTAGTTAAGCTATGTAGTAAAGAAGTCTAAGCTGTTTGTGATATAGGAGTGAGACCTTCAGCATCTTCCAGTCTGAGCTATTGAGGATTAAATCAGTTTTAAAAATCTGATTCAGACATCTGTCTGTTCCATTTTTCCCCCGGTATATATACATTTCTTTACTGTTAAATTCCTTTAATTCATTATCATTTTTATTGGCTAACATAGTTCTTCCTCATAACATATGGGGTATCTCACAAAATTACATTTATGTGTATGCAGTCTGGTTTTCTTTTGATCTCTCTTTAGTTGGTAAGATGTCTCATTACATACATATATGTCTCATTGCATTCATTTAATTTATTTGGGTTCCCATCTTTTGCTAGACTTGACCTGCTAGTCAACTATTTCCTCTCTTACAGATAAATAAACATAATATGGACATTTTCCTTATCTTTGTAACTCAAATTTTGTATTAAAATGTTACAGCTGTAGCAAGCACATATGTACTAACATAACCACAAGTTTGCATACTGATATCAAGTTTTACCTCTACACAGGTTTTCATCCCTGAGGCAGCAGCATAGTGCAAAGGTGTATTTTTTTTGTTATCAACAGCATCAATGCCTGCTCTTTCATATTCTCCTTCATCAAGCTTTGCTCCTTTCCATTTTAGGATCATCTGCAGACAATCTGCTCTTCTGAAGTCATCTTCTGAGGGTCGTGTCAAGCGAGGATGGAGTGCCCCTTCGGATATCATAATTTGAGGTCCCATACACAGTAAGTGCATAGACGTCTCATTGTGCACATTTCGTTTATTGGGGTTTCCATCTCGAACAAAAAGAAAAGTCCTATATGGAAAAATGAAAAGTGAAAATAATCAGTATATACTGTAGTTTACTTAGTAAGCTGAAGCAGCAAAGTTATTTTTCCTGCTATTTTCTCCTCCAGCCAAAATGTTGTTTATCTATGTAAATTATGTTTATCTATGTAAATTAAATCTATTCATAGGTGTAAAAAGCCAGATACTATCTCAATCACTTGAAGTTTGCTGCTAAAATTTCTAAACAAAAATAAAAACATTATTCATTTCTTTCTGTGTAGCACTCTAAATTGCTTTAAAAAACCCTCTGAATTTTCCAAAGGTTTTAAATTACTTTGACCTTCCCTTTATTTGAGGAACGCCAATAGCACTATTTCCAGAATGTCTAAATCAGGGAGGAACAAAAATCTGGCCTGCCAACTGACTGTATCCAGCCCATGGCTAGACACTTGCCAAGTGAATGGATCCAACCAATGGGTGGGTGGTAACTCTGGCAGCCATGTGATGCTTGGCATCCAGGGCTGCTTCCAGCATGCTGGGTGCTCTCTCTCTCTCTCTCTCTGGCTGGGACTATGACCAGTGTGGAAGCAGAAACATCAACCTGCAGCTGCCCAAACTCAGCTAGCAGCTTCCAGGTTGGGGCTTCAGGCATGGGGCGAGGTGTGCTACAGCTATGGTCAGGTTTAGGCTTCCATACTGGTCACAGCCTGTAGCTGTAACACATCCTGCACTTTCCCTGAGTGTCTGGAGCCCCAACCTGGAAGCTGACGGCTGTGTTTGGGCAGCTGTGGATGTGGCCAGGTCTGACGAGGGTGATGGATGGGGAAGAGGGTAGCACACGCTAAAGCTGGGGGCGGGTAGACTCCAACTGTGGAGGATGAGGAGGTGCTAAAGATGCAGGCAGGTTCAAGCTTCTGTGTTAGTTGCAGCTCTGGGAAGAAGGGATGGGGAGAGGGAGAGGTGTAGGCTTCGACATGTCACCAAAACTCATTAAGTGGCTCACCAACCCAAATAACTGTCCGCTCCTGTTCTAAATCCTGCTTGGAATGCTAACTATCTTAGTTCTCTCAATAGTGTCTCTCTTGCAGGCAGAAATACTCCAAGCTATTGTCCATTACTATTTGGAGTGAATAACTACCAAGATCAGTCATAAGCTAAACTCCTCAAACAGGCTGTCACGGACCTGCCAAACACCCATAAGTTGAGTACTTTACTTACAATAAGTAACAAAATAAAGTTCTTGTGCAATTAATATAAGTAACAAATAAACCAACAACCACATTTAGGATAAATTCTACATATTAAATAAAAAATTAGCACACCAAATTAATATCCTGACAGATAATTTATATTCACCTAGTCATTACCCTTAATAACATTCTATGTAATGGATAATACACAGCTGTTAAGAGCTACAAATATATTGTTCCACCCATCAGAGCCAGAGCCTTTTATAAAAGACAGAATTTCTATCTTCTCCTCCATGGCGCAAAGTTGCACAATTTTTCTTTAAAACATTTTAAAATTAATTAAAATTTTCTTGCTAGCATTGCAAGTACCAAGGAAAGATCCTTTATGTGGCTTTGCTTTTGTAATGCTATTCCTTACACTGGATGGATCAGGGAGCATTACACTAGCCCAGTGGGTCCTAACCTGACTGGACCACTAGGTTCTACTGAAATAACTCCCATTTTATTCTTAAGGGAATGTGAGTTATTGGTAATTTGGTGACTCTTTTTCTATGGGAGTGACAAGGGATCTGCAGTAGGGTTGTTAATTTAATGGGAAAGCAGGACAGTTACGGGTGACAGAGGAAGAAACATGGGAAAGAACTATGCATAAAACTAAGCAAGAAGGATCACCTAGGACTGGGGTTGTTGACCGGGGGTACACATACCTCTGGGAGTACTTGGGAAGGCACTAGGGGGTACGTACAGGTGGGCAGGGATGGAGAACTGCCACCAACCACCCCATCGTGCCACCTGCCAGGAGCAGAGTCAGGGTGGGGCAAGGGCAGCAGTGCCCTTCTGTGGGCTGCACAGGCACCACCTGGTCAGTCGGACGTGGGGGGAGGCAGGGAGCTTATGCAGTGGCTGCTGCCATCCACTACCCCACGATGCTGCCACTCTGTGTCCAGCTGCGTGCCACCCCCCTCCCCTGGGAAAAGGTTGAAAAGATTGAAAACCCTTGACCTAGGAGATAGATAGAAGATAGAATAAAGAAGAATGTGGCATCTGTTCTTGAAGGTCCTTTGCAGAGATATTCTCCCAACTGTTCCTACAAGCTCAACCACGTGCAAAAAAAAAAATCAACAAAACTCCCTGTCCGCCCACCTTCAAGCTGCTCCTTCACTTATTATGGGTCCTTTCTTCAAACTACCTTACATCTTACAAGAAACAGAAGAACCCAAAACAATATTTAATCATTTATATTCCTATTTTCTTAATTTAAAATGTGTTCTGGAATCTTCATTGACAGGTAAGCTATTGACAGGGCAGACATCACTGTCTGACAGAAAAAAAATACTCTCTGCTATAAGCAAAATGAAGACTGATAGAAAATATTGACTGTTTAAAATTTTTTTTTAAATTCCCACTGCTTGTGTTAGTGCTGCCAGTTTTCCATTTTTGAACAGATGACTTATTTATACTATCTGCATTTTTTTCCTAATTTTTACCATAGTCCTTTGAAAGGAAACAGGTCTGCCCTCAGTGTTTTCATGGGAGGCAGCCTTTTTACATTCTTTTAACCAGTCTAAGGTGATAGACAGAAATTATGAAATTATAAGACTTAAAGTAAAATAATTATCTGGTAGCTCCCTACAGTCATTTTCTAATGATTCTAAACTGACCCTAGAATATTTGCTGCACAAGGTTCAGCTATAAAACCTTTATACCCAGAAATAAACAACATGAACCAAGACAAAATGGAAAACTGAAGCACATACAGTCTCAAGAATCTTGTAATTCAGAGAATATATGTATTAATTAACTAATAACAGGAGGCGTTTATAAAATATATCATCCATAAAGTAGCAGTTAAATAGGGTATAAGAAATAATGGAAAGATTTGAGAATAAAGACATTTAAATGTGATATCATGACCTTTTAGCATTCAGGCTTTTCATAAAATATATTCCAGGTTTTAATGAAGAGCTAACTGCTATACTACAGCTAATTATGGAAATATTTGATTATATTTACCAACTTAATAGAAATGTACAAAGATCAGTTAAAACATCTTTGATAGTAAGTAGCTAGCTAAATGTTCTAGTCCATCCTCTTCCTTGTTTCTTGTATATGCCCCCTCAGGTGTGGTATCAGGAAGGTGTCTTTACCTCTCCTGGGATCCAATTTTACAATTCTCACACATTTTGACCAGGGCCTGGATTACTGTATTCTGTGCATCAACTATATTCACACAATAGCTTTAAATGTGTTCAGTACATAATAGCTTTTCCTCTTTGGAAATCTATGATCAGTGGTAAAAGTGTGATCAGACAGCCTTTTAAAACTATAATATTATTATTATATATATATAATATATTATTATTATATATATAATATAATATTATTATATTATATATATAATATTATATTATATTATAATATATATATGTAACTATAACTATTTTAATAGGAACAAAGTATTCAGAGACAAAGGATTTTGAAACAAATGGTCCTATGCATAAGTCTATTTTACGTACAAGTTACAATTCCTGATGGTAGCCCAAGCAGACCTGATGCTGTTAGACATTCTAGCAGATGTTGAGTATTAATCTGCTTCCCATTTAATATAAACGTCTTGTATCCTTCCTACTTGCTGAGATAGTAAAAATGTCAGTAACCTGATTAATACACAGTTGACAAAGTATTCTGTTCTGTCCCCTTTAGTTCATAGGTAGTCATGAAGTAATGGACCAGAAATGAAACCTAATGAATATGTAAATGAAAAACATAACGGTGTAGTTGGGTAAAAATAATTAATTGGCTTGAATTTGGGCTTGTTACGACTCATGAGTGGCAAGATATCTGACTTAATAGGACCTTTATACCAAATGTCATAACATGTATTTTTATGTAATGCATTTTCAGAAGACTTAATTCTATGGAAAGTGTTTGGAGACTAGTGATGGATTTGATTACAAAAAAATTAGACAAAATAGAGACCAGCCTTAATCTTGCCCATCCAGGTTCTCAAGTGATATAATTTTATTAATTCTTAAAATCTGACTCCCTATTCTTCTTTTACCATATGTTGGTATCATTCTCTCTTCTGTTAATTCCTTATCCCTACTTCTTTTTCTACCTATCCTACTATAACTGCATCCTCATTTCAACTACTCATACATTAACTTTAAGCTGCAATAAGAAAAGGAAAACTCTTAAGAAGGGTGTTCACCCCAATTCTTTTATTCAGCAGTCCTCCTGAGGTCTTGTCTATTGTCTCTATTTCTGAAGCATATAGAAACAAAATCACAGTTACTGTATTTACTTGAATACTTGAATACAAGATGGAGTTTTTTCTTTCAATCATCTTACAATCATCTTACAATCACATACAAGGAAACCTCATTATTATCTATCATTCTTCTTGACGGTTCTTCACAGACAAAGATGTTAGGAAGTTAACTGTCCACGCCAGTTGCAGGCCTGCTGGTGACTAATGAGTCCAACTGCAGAGAAGCAAATCCTGTTGCAATGGTTACACATGTATGGCTGATTGCTGCTAGAGGGTGTGTATATCATTAAACTGCTGCCAAATGCAGCATGTGCTAAGTATTGGAAACCAACTATGAAACTGATTAAACGCAGCTAACACTGAGCATGATTATAAAACCAATGGCCCACAGTGGACAAACTTACTGGTGGGAACCTACCACAAGGATACATTAGTGAAGCCCATATAACTAAGATATATATGTGACAGGGGCAAACTTTCATGCCCACTTCACTCTCCTGCCACACTTTGGTGTAATAGTATTGAGATGTTAATTAGGCGGGAGGCTGCCCATTTTGGACCCCAAAT